GGCGGGTTGAAATATCTCTCTTATTCACCCCGGTACCCCATTGTTTTTTGTCGCCATCACATTGAACACATCATTCCCCATATCTTCAAATTTTTTCAAATTTTTCTTGAGTTCCTAGGGGGTTGAAACGTTCAATTTAATCAAAACTCCATAAGAGGCCATGTATAAGACTGATTTTGTTTATTTAATTTCTCGATATCCATAAGTTCTAAAATTTAAAAATTGTCACCGATGCTCACCATCTGTCTAATACTATTAATTAAAAAAATTATAACTTTGTTGGTGAATGTCAATTTTCAAGGTCATCGCCAAATTCACTTGGCACCCTTAAATAGAGAATATTAACTCTGAAAGTAAAAATCGCCCAATTGGTCGTCCATAAACTATTATATTCTCGATTCGTCAAGCTTCTTCTTTCGTCATGCACTCCCGATTAGGCCTGACACCTCATACCTCCACTTATAATTCGATATCCATGCAGATTGGAATAATCGCTGGATCAGGGCTGGAAGACCTCGCCAAGCACCTCCTAGTAGACTCCACCCCAATAGAAAAAGAACAAGTTCAAAATGATTTCGGTGTGCCAAGCGGCACGATTCACCTTGGAAGCATTTCAGGAATACCAGTGGCCTTGCTATCTAGGTAACCATTCCACTATTCCAATTTTCACGCCCTCCGCATTAAAACTTCCCCTGTTATCCAGACATGGGCCGGGTCACAGAGTGAATCCGACGAACGTCAATTACCGTGCGAATCTAGAGGCTTTGAAATCACTGGGATGCACCCATATATTGGCATCGACGGCCTGTGGATCTCTGTCCGAGTCCATCGGCCGTGGGCAATTGGTCATCCCCGATAGCTTCATAGATCGCACTAACAGCCGAAAGGGAACTTTCTTCGATGGAACTTCATCCAAGTACCCGGGCGTCTGTCACGTCCCGATGGAGCCAGCCTTCCACCCAGCGACCGCCGAAGCTCTGGCCCGAGCGACGAAAGATCTGGGTCTGAATGTGAAGAGGGGAGGGACCATTGTCGCCATCGAAGGACCAAGATTCTCCTCCAAGGCAGAGAGCAAAGCTTGGCGGTTGTGGGGCGGTGATCTCATCAATATGACTACCTGCCCTGAGGTATATACTAGTTGAAACGATCGTGATCCTTTACATTACGAGACCGAAGGCGCGCTACAGCGCGCTGTAATTGTAACAGTCGTAATTGAAAATCTCGAAATTAAATTAATCGTGAATTAAATTTGCCCCCTGAGACGACTGGAACCAATGAGGAGTTATCGACTTTAAGGCCCGCGTGTACTATGTTTCGAACGTTATCTCTATGTTTTTTTCATCTTTCGTCATCTGAAATTGTCAATTAAGTCCTGCATCATGCAGAAGTTTTGAAAAATTATGAATGAATAAAAAAAAAGTAGAAGAAATAGACCTTTTCATTCTGAGAGTCACTAGATTTGCGGACACTTTTTTTCCATGTTAATTCCCCTAGGATTTGCGGACACTTTATCGAATTTACATATAAATCATGGTTTTTGAGCGCTCAAGTTTATATCATTGTAAAGTTCAATATTTATCAGAATTTTCCATGGTTTTTTCGGAGATTTTTTCGTTGAATGAACGAAATAAATATTTCCCCTAGATTTCCAGGATGAAAAGGTCTATTCTTAATTTTTTCGAAGAGCATTGTTGGAATTCATGCCTGAATACAAAAATTAATTTCTTAGTTTAGTTAAACATTTTCTCTTTTCCACCCAAACACTCAGGGTGACATTTATGGCTTTTCTTAGAAAATAGAGACGTGAAGAAAAACAGTCCTCATGGTGAGTCACAAAGGAGAGGCTGAAGAAAATTGAAACAAGGGCCTTTTGTCAAATGGGTCCAGAGAGTGAAAACTCTCATGACTTTTAGTTAGTCGTCCTAGAGACTTCGTTGGAGAAAGATATACCTTCTGCGTGCGATCATTAAAGAGTTTTACTTTGAAGAATAAAACTAATGTGTTTTTATTGAGTATTCCTACACATAATCCAATAAGCATTTTTAATTTATATTCAGAATATGTTGAATAACAAGAAATTGAAAAATGTATCTGTTTTACGGTGACAAATGGCTTTTCCCATACTGCACAGAGACATTTACTACGGAAAAGGCTCTTTGAAAAAAGTTGTAATATTTTGGAGAATTTTTTAATCACACTTTCATCACCTAAAAATGACAGATGACTACATAATATTGTTTTGAAAATTGAGATACCTAGCTGTCACTTCCCATGAGGAGTTAGTGTTTTGTTATCCACCATGAAAAATGACAGCCAATCGATAATTTGCCACAGCGAATCAGATATTTATAATTTCAACTTTTTTCGACTCATTCTGAATCTCAATTAAAAACGCTCTTTGAAAAAGTTCAGAATTTTTTCTATTTTTTTTATCATTCTGTCATCATTTTTGGGAAATTCTACATGATGTACCACTCAATTGACAATTTTGAGTTACGAAAGATGAAAAAAATCCAGATAACTGCCCTCAGAAAATATTGTGCTCTGGGAAGAGATCGACCGCTTCAATCAATCGAATCTGTATTTTTCATTGAACAGGTATGCCTCGCGAAAGAAGCTGGCCTTCTGTACGCAGCCATTGCGATGGCAACCGACTATGACTGTTGGTCTGAATCCGAGGAACATGTTTGTGTAGCTGACGTGATGGAAGTTTTCAAGAAAAACGTCGTCAAAGTGACTGAAGTGATAGCCCAAGCTGTTGAGATTATTGGGAACATGGAGTGGGATCAACATATCGATGATTTAAAGGTACGATTTGTACTCTCTTCGACATTTTAGATAGACCTGGAGAACATTTTCTGTTATTTTATTTCAGGATTTGATCAAGAGTGGGAATGTCTCAGCAAAGGACTGAAATCAACTATTTATTACCGAATTCTTCATCCACTTCAGGACAATTCTCGTCTTTTTATCAATCAGTTTCGACAATCAGTATTGCTTTCATTCCGAAGCCATCTCGAATCAATAACCCATGCTCGTGTTATATCCAAAATATCATTGCTCTAAAATAACCAAACATTAAACGACTCTCAGTATTCCCAACGCTGAAGGAATGCTGCATCAGGACACAGTGCATCGCTCCCGCAAATTTCAACGCGTTCAACGACCGATTTTGCGGCTATTTCCCAAACAATTCATAAAAGAATTTTCTGGAACTTCGAAGCTTTTGCCACGGGGCAAAAACTGCCACGAAGAACAGCCAGTCGTTAGCCAGAATTCGGAGACATAAGACCCAGCGGAAATAGCTCGCGAAATCGATCGATAGTATTCAACTCCGGTAGTAATTCGATAAATTAGTATCGATACTACGTTTACGGTGACTTTTCGTGTGAAATTGGTCAGAAAAGTGAGCGTTGGTGCTGATCTGGGGACAGACCACTCTAAAATCGAAAGCAGCAGCTTTTCTTGCGCATAAAGGGACGAAATTAAAAATTCAATTTATTAAATAGTGCTGACGTGCTCAACTCAAACTGTTAAAACTCTGTATCAACTCTTGTTACACTAGTGAGTGGAAGTTTATCTCAGTGCATGAGTATACACAAGCTTAGTGTCAAAAGTGCGAGAAAAGAACAGAAACTCACAACCAAAAACAGTTATCAAAAATAGTGATTCGAACTTGACTAGCAACGTAAGAACCGATTTGAATTTGGATAAAGTTTACATCGAGTGAGTACCTAATCCTTAAACTTAAAAATTGATAGGAGATTTTCTACGGGAGACAGATTAGAAGATAAAATATTGTAACGATTTCTGTAATTTCCAATACTACCTTATTTTGAAGATTATACGTGAAAATTCCTCATACATGAACAAATCTTTTGGTTATTTCGAGAACCTTTTTCCATTCCTGGGTATTCCCTAAAATCTTCCCCATATTTACTTTTCATTTGCAAAGAAAAAGGTAAGACTAAGAAATGCAGTAAGCGTCGTCCTTCCCTTAAAAACTAAAACAAGATAAATTATAAATTCCGATAAATCTTGGACAATTTTAGCAAATTGTTTGGAAATTAAAATCATTATTATTTTACCCATTGTCCATCGACGCAAATAACGTCTCCAGACATAACACTCGAATATCAATTTTGTTACTTTATTGCCACTGAACTTGTCCTCAATTTCGATGCGCTGATTAATCATTTTTTATAACTCACAATAACTTTTTACTGTGAAATTGAAGATTTACTATTGAGTTTGCAAATAAACGTACAACTATCTTTATCTTCGCCTATTTTTGTCGCGCAATATTCACTGAGAGAAGATACAAATGTTCTCCAGCAAGTTTTGTTTGAAACAAAGCAATCGCCAGTTAAAAATTACGAAAAAAAACAAAATCTAGTGCTGCCCATTTGAAGACCGTCCTGAGATGAAAAATTATTGTTGCAAGAATAGCCTCGGTTATTTAAAAAAATATTTATTTTAGTTATTGAAAGTCAATAAATTTTAAGAAGAAATTGTTTGGTCCAAACAAGACTTGTTTGAGCCTTACATCTCAGGGCACAAATAAAGAGCTTTAAAAATCAATGAAATTGCAACAATGATTTATTCCACCTCATCAGCACTCACGGAAATAAAAGATGTTAACAATATAACGGAACGGGATATTTATTCATAGCTTTACAGTGTATTTCATAATCGATGTACAGTGATCTGAACAATCGCATAACCAATTTGTATCTACAATATACAAGTTCATCCTGGCGTTTTGTTAAAATCGCATCGGAACCTTCATATCTTAATTCCATTCCCAAAGTGGACCAGATCATCTCAGGCTCTTTTCGCAACGTCATTTTTTATTTTAGGAGAGAGGAAGGGTCATTGAAAATAATTCATGAGTGTTATTGCTTCAAAGTTCTTTGAACATTTTCCTTTTATCTTAAAAAACCTCAGAAACTCTCCATGTTAAAAAAAAATACTGAATGATTCCTAGTAACTTATCACTCGTCAAAAAATTTCCAAAGATAATTACTATCTCGACGAGTGACTGGAAAAATCACGGGATCAAAAACTATATTCTTAAGAGAGAATTCTAGAGTCCAAATTGCTGCGTCCGCCCTTTTCACGCCTCGTAATACTAAATTCAAAACGCCATTTAAACAATTTTAACATTCATAAATCTTAGTATAGAACAGTTTCTCATTGAACTCAGTTAAAATGAGGAATTGAACAGAGGAATCGGGAGTTGGAATACATTGTAAAAATACCGATCAAACCAGGATCGGATTCAAAACTAATTTTCATTATTTTCAGGTGTTTTTAGTCATTCCCCATAAATCTTTTGTGATAATTATTTACAATGGATTGTTCCTTTGACTATTTTCATTGCCGTATTGTTCGTCATCCGAATTTGTGTGCTTATACCAACATGATTTGACTGAATTGTCTCTCATTACTCTATAATGTCGACTGGGAATTGGGGGGTGAAGGTCCATTTTATCTTCGAAATCAGTGTGGAACTTGTTTTCATATGCACTCCACTGGCGAATGACGATGATTTTACATCACTCACCTGCCCCATGAGACTACAATTCCTCTTATGAACAGATGAATGGACAGAAGAAAATAATAGTAGCATGTTGGATGTGCGCCTAGAGGACGTTAATATTGACACAATGTCGTCGTTGATTCCTTAAACCTTATTGTCAACCATATCGACGTTTATTTTGTAGTAGACGTAGGGGTAATACTCGTTCTGACCGAAGCCTAGACCCGGAATATCCATACTCTGAAAATAAAACAAATATTATTTTACAATGAACAATTTTATGATTTTTTTCCCTTCACGATGATCAGATCAGATTAGATATGAGTAGCGAAGTGGTAATACGGTCTAAGTCGACTCATCTCTCAGTTGAGTTTTTGAGGAATATTTCCGGATCTAAGGGAGATAGCGAAATTTTCGTAATTACATTTGTTGTAGCACTCAATCGGCTCGACAAAAACGGTTGTAACAACAATTTTGCTATCTCCCTTAGATTCCGAGATATTCGCTAAAAACTGGTCAAAAGTCAAAATTGACTTGTACCGTTTTATCACTTCGCTACTGCCCAGAGTCACCTAAATCATATGATATTTTGTGACATCCGCCTCTATTTAATCAGTCCACCAGCCCTAACTCTATTCTGGCACCCATGGAAACCAATACACGCCCTGTTCTAGCGAATGAAGAAAAGAACACTCATTTCGTTCCTTTAAAGCTGTTGCAACTAATAACTCTGGGACAAATGAAAGGACTTACATCTTGATTGCCACCCCCTGCCCCCGACGCCGACGAATCCAAGTGCGCATACAATTGATTCAAAACATCCCGCAACCTTTTGGTGCTCTTCTTATTCGGATGCAGTAGAATAGCTTGGAAATTGACGGGCAAACCATATCTGCAAAATAAAAATCATTACCCCCCTGCAGTCACACGCACGAAATAATTTAATAGAAAAACCTATCAAATTCATGAGAAAATTCTATTGAATTTCTATTACTTTCTATTAGTTTTCGGCTGATTCTATTGACATGTGCAATAGAAAACATTCAATACAAAAAGTCAACAGAATTCGATTTTTCTATATAACTTATTATTTTCATATATTTTTTATAGAATTTGCTCGACTCAAATTCTCAAGTTTTTTTCATTCTATTTTTCTTTTTTTCTCATTAAGAAAATCAAAAGAAAAAACTTGGAAAATTGTGGCCGAGGAAATTCTATAGAAAATATCTCAATAGAATAAGTTATATAGAAAATCCCCCTGCAGTCACACGCACGAAAAAAATTAATAAAAAAAACCTATCGAATGCATTAGAAAATTCTATTGAATTTCTAGTACTTTCTATTAGTTTTCGGCTGATTCTATTGACATGTGCAATAGAAAACATTCAATACAAAAAGTCGACAGAATTCGATTTTTCTATATAACTTATTCTTTTCATATATTTTTTCTAGAATTTGCTCGACTCAAATTCTCAAGTTTTTTTCATTCTATTTTTCTTTTCTTCTCATCAAGAAAATCAAACGAAAAAACTTGGAAATTTTGAGCCGAGGAAATTCTATAGAAAATATCTCAATAGAATAAGTTATACAGAAAATCCCCCTGCAGTCACACGCACGAAAAAATTTAATAAAAAAAACCTATCGAATTCATTAGAAAATTCTATTGAATTTCTATTACTTTCTATTAGTTTTCGGCTGATTCTATTGACATGTTCAATAGAAAACATTCAATACTAAAAGTCAACCGAATTCGATTTTTCTATATAACTTATTCTTTTCATATATTTTCTCTAGAATTTGCTCGACTCAAATTCTCAAGTTTTTTTCATTCTATTTTTCTTTTCTTCTCATCAAGAAAATCAAACGAAAAAACTTGGAAATTTTGAGCCGAGGAAATTCTATAGAAAATATCTCAATAGAATAAGTTATACAGAAAAATTGAATTCTATTGACTTTTTCTACTGAATATTTTCTATTGAACATTTTAACAGAATCGGCCAAAAACTAATAGTAAAAACTAATATAACAGTTCATAGTTAAAAACTAATATAACAGTTCAACAGAAATTCAGTAGAATGTTCTAACGAATTCAATAGGTTTTTCTATTAAATTTTGTCATCCATGCACGAAAGTAATCCACAAGCAGTACCTCAAAACAGACTCAACAAAAACTCTGAGAGCTTTCACATGAATCCAGGCGCAGAAGCACTCGCTGAAGTTGACCTTCAACCAACGAACCAACGGCCCAAACTGCTTCTTCTTATCAGTCACCAACTTGGTGATTTCATTCTTGCCAGCAGCGAGCTCCTCCTCATTGTACGTAAAATCACGAACTATGAATTTCTTCTCGCGCGCGTGGAGCTTGAACTCCTCAGCGACTTTTTTGAAAAGAGTCACCGTGAAGAGCCCATACTCGGAATCCTGTGTGATCATTTGGGTACTTCGGGGCACTATCATGTCTGTGAGCTTCTCGTACACTGCGTGCCACTCCTGGAAATTTGATTTCGGCACGATGACGAGTAAAGTTGAGAGGTACTCGCTGTCTAAGATGAAGTGCTCTTTCTTAACAAGATCAGCGAGATTGCGAGTCAATAAGCTTCCGCTACGAAAAATTGGATAAAGTCAGTGGGAATGGGGAATAATAAATTAATTGAGAGGCTTCAGAAGTAAACTACTGAAATGCCAAAGAGAAGTGGAAAAATCTAAGAGATTTTAAAAGTATTTTAAAAATGGTCTTCTATAGAAACTGATTGGATCGAGTTGAAGTTCATCCGGAGAGAATGAATAGTTCAAAGAATTGTTCAAAAATGCCAAGTAGTTGACTTTATACGAATTTGGAAACCGGTAAGGTCGGAGATGGGAAAATTCACATGTAGACTCTACATTTGAAATTACCGAACACGTGTTTCGTTTTTTTTTTGGAAATCAGCCCCTTGGGTAGTGCAACTTAGAGAGTTCTAGAAATTTCATGAAAAAAAAAATGATAACACAATCATGATGATGATGTGATGATGATGGGGATGATATTTTTAATAATAATAATTAATTTTTAATACTAAATATTATTAAAAACATCTTAATTAATTTTTTAATAACAATTAATTAAGATGATGTTTTTAATTAATAGTAATAGTAATTAATTTTTCAATAATAATAATTAATTAATAATTATTAAAAAAATAATAATAGTTTCCAGGAAATTCCTAGAATTTTCTAGAAAATGACAGAATGTTCTTCAGAGGAATAAAAATCGATTTGCCGAATAATTGCATTTCGGAAATTTCTAGAACTTTCCTCTGCCACAAGGGGATTTAAAGACGGTGTGGTGCACCCAACTCATAATTTTAAACATTTCTTCAAATTATTTATCCTTTCCAGGTCACCCTCAACTCATTTCACCAAACTCTTACAAAAAGAAAAATTTGTTGAAGCTATCGTTCAGACTTTTCTACTCCTCTTTGACTGAAAAGTAATGGCGCAAAGTTTTCTTGACTTTCGAGGCCTCGCAATATCGTATAATGATCATTGACGATTACGTTTGCTTCTTCTCGAGGTTCTGAAGGCTTCCCTTGAGATTATTGTACGTCGTCGACTTGGTCTTCAAGTCAGAATCAATCTGTCCGACTTGTTTACTAATAATATCAGCGATATTCCTCAACGACTGTTTGATCGGATACTTGGCCATATCCCATTGAAAACGAGTTATATATGTCGGCAGATCACCTGTTATGGTGGAGAAAATCATTGGAATAATTTTTACAAGCGTGTACCAGTAGTTCACACCCTCATTAGACCTGATATCATTATTCTTTCAATAAGGATAAAAAAATAAACATGCAAGGTGATGAAATCGTGACCCGTCGCATTGTGTTAGTGCCAATTTAATGAATTGCACTGTGAATGCAGTATGAGATTTCAATATTCTCATCAACACTAGCATTTCCAGTCGATCTGTCATGATCGCGAATGTGAGTGAACCTTGGAAATAAATTCAGTAGGTCCATGCCAACTGTAGAAGTTGATTGAAAAATTCTACATAATTGAAATTGTTATTTAAAAATTCTATCCCTATTGAGGAAATTTGTGGATTAAATTTTGAATTTAAGCAACGTTATGTCTCAAGCCAAGCAGCACAACAGTTCAAAGCAAGTATGGGTTTATTGATTATCAGGATACGGGGATAGTAGAGCATTTAAGAGTAATTAAATCGGGTCTTTCCCCTTCACTCGCGATGAAAATTCTCTATAAGATTGAAATTCTATCGTGCAAAACATTTACTGCACTTATCAATGTTTTCTTTAAGAATTTCATGCACTTAAAGGTAGCATTCCATCGGTCTCTAAGGTTGCTCATTGAACATAATCCCTGTGTTTGTGCTGTTTTTGTATTGATAGATCATGTATGAAATTTGAATTCTGGGTTTTTGCCAGGGTTTGTCCCATGTTTTTCTTGTTGTTGTGTAGAACTGATTGAATGAAAAAAAAACATTGGTACTCTGCAGAATCCTATGACACGTGTGAAAAAATTGAATAGAAAATTTAGGAATTCTATTCAAAAATTATATTTGTTTTTTGCGCTGATTCTGTTGGATAATCGATGAGAAAAAGTCAACAGATTTCGAATTTCTGTTTAAGGTCCGGATGGATTATCTTACGAACGTGATCTTGGTTTTTTTTAAATTTTGATAATCTGAAATGATATCCAATTGCTATTCAGTTTTCGATAGTCTTTGAGTCTTCAAAAAATAAGGTTGTACAATTAAAAAAACTTTTTTTTTGTCGTTATTTTACATCGCTTCGACCCGGCTAGGGTTTACTGCGACGATGATCAAGACTTTAAATGGTTAGATCGCACTATTCTATCCGGCCGGGGTTTGAACTCGGAACCTTTCGCATGTGAGGTAACGAACTTACCCACTGCGCCAAGCCACCGGGCAATTGAAAAAAAAAAAAAAAAAAAAAAAAAAAAANAACTGACAGTCAATGGCTGTCAGATCGTTAGTTATCATGATAAATTATCCATTCACTATTTCCTCTCTATCGCATTTATTTCTTAATCTTTATTAAAAACGCTCTTTGAAAATGTTCAGTTTTTTTTCCAACTTTTTTTGATTGTACAATCATAATTTTTCGGGACTCCTGCGTAATGTAAAATCCAATGGAAATTGTGATATATTTTACATTATGAAAATGGAAAAACAATCGAGATAACGGTCGAAAGATAATCCACCCGGGCCTTAAATTTTTCTCTTTAGATTTGTTCTATAAGAATGCTTGGGCATCAATTTTCCAAGTTTTTTCCACTCGGACTCTACAATGCAAAACAAAACAAAATCCAGTGGAAAAAACTTGAAAAATTTTGTGCCCAATAATTCTAATAGAAATAATTTAAAAGAAAAATTCAAACAGAAATTCGCAATCTATTGACTTTTTCTTATTGAATATCCAATAGAATCAGCGCAGAAGACAAATAGAATTACAATATAATTTTCTAGCGAATTCGCAAGGTTTTCTCCTAAATTTTTTCCCGCGTGAATTGCGAGGAATATTCATATATTGCAATAGCCACTGCTGAGGATTTTTCGATTCTTCATAATGAATTTCATGATTATCCGTCAATTACTGGATATGAACGAACGACAATATCCGATAAATATCTCGTCTCTTTCTCGAATCGACACATAAAAAAACGGAAAAAATAACTTCAAAATAGAGCAAAAAGCGTGAAGGACAATGTATTATCGAAGATGCATGGAATAGTGCGCAGAGTGGGATTCAAAATAATAAGACATGATGTAAAATAACTGAAATCAATTGTATGAGCTGCTCGCCAATGTTCACAGTCGATTTCGTATTTCTATTGATGAAAAACTAGTGAGAAAAACCATGAATACATCGGTAGGCAAAGCATCATGGAAGCCCACTATTAAATCCGAATAAATGCTCATGATTATGAAAAAAAAAAACTAATGACTCTGTTATATTCATCAGTCGTGTACGCTTCGGTGATTCAATGTCTGCCGCGCATTGCTGTTCTTTCCCCCCAATTTTCCTAATCCAATAAAGCATAACCGACTAATGATACTGTCACGTCGCACTCACACTGAACTCAGACTGTTCACCCAATAGCTCCTCGAAAAATAAAATAATAACAAAACGAATGTCAACCTCTGGATTCAATAGTGGATAACAGGAGATCATTGACTTTGGAGGAGTGAAATGATGAATGTCTAGGAGCTTACGAGGATGACAGTAAAATGCCTGGATGTAATCGAAATTTATGAATAAAAAGGAAAGACAGGGGTGAGTGTATCCAATCGGTATTTTTTTTTGTCTCGAGGCAGTTGGTGGGATGGGTACCTGGATTAGGCAGAATGCCACAATCGTCTTGCTCTTGTTCTTGATCTTCGCTATGCTCCTCATCATGACTGGTGTCAGTGTCATCAGCATATGACTTGGAACTTGATGACGTTGTACGACGTAATTTACGAACTTTTCGATGACACTGTGAGCCACGTCGTCTTGTTTTATCCTCATCGCTACTGCAATGTGATGAGAAGGATTGGGACGGACTTGTGGGTGTTGGAGTTGGCGATGGTGATGAAGGAGCAGAAGCAGCGCACCAATGTGTATGGTAACACGAATAAATCGACGATTCATTCTGTGCACGATTATCACCAGCCTGGCTTATCGTTAATCTCTTGTCGGCATTGGAGTTATGATTCTGGGTATCGTGATGATTGTAATGACTGGAATGACTATGAAGGCTTTGGCTGTAATGACGTTCATGGTGCTGACCTAAACTCGGCGCTGGCTCTCTGTCATTATTGTCCAGCTCCTTCCATGGCTTGTGTTGTTGCTGATCCCTCATGCTCTTGTGTGATGGTGTTACAGGGGTGTTTGGTGGGGTGTCCGGACCCCCCTCAAGGCTCGTGTTCTCACCGTCATCCACTGATGTTTGACCTATCCATTATAACCCATTCCCAGAATCTTCTCCCGATATTTTCTTACTCTAGTTTTTTTTTAATTTTATATTTTAGTTTTTTTTTCAATTCCAGTTACTTGCTTTCAAATTTATCCATCTTTCTCCTTGTTCAACTAAATGTCTTTTGCTTCCTATGCAAAAACGCCTAACGACAACGCCGACGATAACTCAACCAAAGATAATACAATAAAAGAAGAACATCAATTTGAGAACATGAGTATTTAACTTTGAATAACTTTATTTCTATTCGTCTGTACATCACTCAAATGAGAGGTAAAATAAAATGAAAACAACAATGTCTGTACCAACAATAACAATCACTCGTAAAATATGAGGAATTCGTTAAATACTCTGTGGTGCTCAAAAACGAAAGAAAAATACTCTTGTGAAGTGAAATGAGAGAGAACATGATCTTCACTAATCGAACGAGAAATGAAACAAAAACATAATCTCTTCTCTTCGTCATGTTAACTATTTCAAATAAATAAACGAGCAAAAAGGCTGCAAATGAGAATTGTACGGTGCAACGCAAACAGCCAAAAGTACTCAAACGATAAATGAAAAAAAAATTAAAAAAATCAACGAAATAAATTAAATTATTAAATTGAATCGAAAGGAAACCTTTAACAGTGGCTACTCCTAGCTTGGTGACCACAGTAACCCAAGCAACTCCTAGTTCCTTCTAACATTTCTTTATCTCGAATGATATTAGACTGTTCAGTTGCTCGTGTGGTCCTTTCATCTTTAGTCCAATTATTAAAATTAATTTTGTGGCTATGACTGAAGTATCTCGCGGGCAGACATTTATTCACGCACTTGAGACAATTTTTGTATCAGAATATTTGGGCGGTGCGCGTGTTCGAGCATTTCATCAATGAAACAATAAGTAAGGTAGGGGGAGGAGGGTTAATGTGGTCGAAATAAAGAATAAATGAAGCAAGCGAAGCAACATTACAAATACAAATAATAGGTTTATTCCCTTTGTTAGAGTGCATTTAGTAAGGAATTTTATAGATTAATGAGAATTATATTGTAAGAAGCTTTACCATTTTGCCTAGTCAGATTGTTTCACAAAAAACTTCACAGACGAATCTAGCGAATTCTGTGTAGAGTTCTACTGGATTTCTATTGAAAATTTTACGAGTTTTTGGCCGATTATGTTCATGAATTCCGCAGGTTTACTGCGCATTTTTTAGTGGAAAATGTTGAACAGAAAATATGTCATAGAAAAAAGTCAGAATTTCATCCTTCTCAACAACCTTTTGCATTTTTTATTAGAATTTATCGAGAGGAATGTTACAAGTTTTAAAAAAATGAAACAAAAGAATTTGGAAAATTTGAGTTAAATTTGAGTCAAATGTCAATGGAATAAATTGTACAGTAAACACTAATTTTGTTCATTTTTTCTACAGAATATTTTCGCATTGAACATGTCTATTGAGAAAAAACGCAGATGAGCTGCGAAATTTTTCACTGGAATCTCCCAAAAACTAATAGAGTTCCACAGAAATCCAATAGAATTTTCCGGCGAATTCGCAAGGTTTTTCAATGAAATTTTTTCGTACGTGATACTATAAACTTACTTCAAATCTTTATATATTGCAATGGATCAATATCTGTTCTGATTAATATCCGAAAGAATTCCACAGATAAATCTAGTGAATTCTATGTAAAGTTCTACTGGATTTCGATTGAAAATTTTACGAGTTTTTGGCCGAGTATATTCAAGAATTTTAATGGAAAATAAACTATCTCATAAAAAAAAGAATTTCATCCTTCTAAACAACCTTTTCCATTTTCTATAAGAATTTATCAACAGGAATTTTACAAATTAAAAAAAAAAGAAACAAAAGTATTCGGAAAATTTGAGTTAAATTTGAGTCAAATGTTAACAGAATAAATTGTAAAGTAAACACTAATTCTGTTCATTTTTTCTACAGAATATTTTCGCATTGAACATGTCTATTGAGAAAAAACGCAGATGAGCTGCGAAATTTTTCGCTGGAATTTCCCAAAAACTAATAGAGTCCAACAGAAATCCAATAGAATTTTCCGGCGAATTCGCAAGGTTTTTCAATGAAATTTTTTCGTACGTGATACTATAAACTTACTTCAAATCTTTATATATTGCAATGGATCAATATCTGTTGATACTTTTTGAAATGAGTTTCGTACACCATAAGCATACATAACGACAATACGATTTATCCGCGTATGCGTCCACACCATAGACACAATAAATTCTCCTCAGTAATCATTGTCATCAGCATACGCGGTAAATCTGAATACAGTAATCTCTGTTCATAGGAAGTACGAGGAGAGGATTTCTAGGTCAGAGTACAGACGCTCTGCATATGGAATTCATTCCTGTTGATTTTTTAAAGGAAAAGTGAACGAAAAAATTGTCAGTAAATTAATCATGACGTGAAATAATTGATATTCTCACGACAGGAACTACCCTTTTTTCAAAATAATAACCAAAAATGATAAATGAATTCCAAAGTTGAGTGTGCTTGTATTGTGTTGTGTATAGTATTCATCAGTGACATTCCCTAATCACAGTGAATATTCAGTGATAAGAAGTTTTGATACGTCATACAAAAAAAAATGGTATTAGTCAATCACCATTACTGGGAGAGTCTGGATAAATAATTGCAAGTCCATAATTTCCAAAACGAAAATTCGAGGGATTAGTTTTGTTATTCTGCAGGAATTCAGTGGAATTGTTAAATAATTTTTGTTGCACTCCAGACTCCCACATGCATCAGTTGAATACTATAACTATACAATCAGGAATAGTAAAGATACAAGACGAATGTAAACTCATGAAAAAAAAGGGTAAACTTTTTTGTGGATTACTCACTATTATTGGCCATCAAATTCTCATGCAGTTTGTCTCTCTGATCCTCAAGTACTTCCCCCAAATAGGCAGCCACCTTGCGGGTCACTTGTTCGACAAATGCATCGAGTTTCCCGAGGTCGTCAGACAGACCGACCAGTTGATCCAGGGTACCGACTTTCAAGTCCGGTATATGGAATTTGTAATTTAGGGATAAGGAATTTTGTTTGGATGTGAGATTGTTCATCGTGTCCCATGTCTGCTGACACGTTTTGTCTCCTGGGGCAGATATCAACCAGTATTCCGTCATGTTCGAGGGGATTTTGTGACTGGGGTTCAGTCAATCTGGAAGGATTCAAGTGCTCAATAATTTGGTGACTGGTCATTTAATCCTGAACGAAATGCATGTAAGAAATATTTTCATAGAAAGACCTAATGAATTCGCTAGAAAATTGTATTGGATTGCTATTGAAAAATTCCGCAGCCTATCTGCGGGGTTTTTTATAGAAATGTTGAATGGAAAATATTCTATAAATGTATTATTACATTAATATTCTAGTTAATGTATTAATTAATTATTAATCAACACATTATTACTTAATCAACTTAGTGATGAGGAATTAAATTAATTAATTATTAATTATTAAAAATTATTGGCATTATTAGTAATAATTGATCTAGAAGTGCAAAAATAACAGTCTTATGAGAAAATTAGCTTTCCGGAGTTGGAAAAAGATGAAAATCAGAAAAAATGAATAAATTCTAGCGAAAAAATCAACAGAATTTAATTCTTCTATTGAAATTCGTCAGCTCACATTTTTTTTTTTCGTTTGTTTTTTCCAATGAAAAGAGAAGAAAAATTGCACAGAAAAGACTCAAAAAATTCATATTCAGGAATTCCTACAGAAATTGTTTCAATAGAAAAAGTTTTATAGAAAGGAAGTTCTTACAGGAATTTGCTACAAATTTCGTTACAAATAATGTAATTCAGTAGTGAAGTGGTCAAACGATTTAATTCAATTCCATTCTAGCGCCAGTTCTCGATGAATATCTCAAATTCTAAAGAAGTCAGCAAAATTTCCGTTAAATCTTTTTTGTAGAGAAAAATGAAGACTATCGAAAAAGATCTTACAAAAATTTCGCTTATTCAACAAAAACTCAATTGGGAGCTAAGTCGACTTAAACCAATTGACCAGTTCCCCACTGAATTGTTTCTATCGGTCATTTTCTGTAATGAAAAAGCGAATACAATTGTTCATCAACTTCGCCAGGTTTTCCTATGAATTTTTTTTTGTGCGTGTGCTCTTGCAAAATGGTTTAGGTCAACAAATTCAATAGAACGTACATATAAATAATGTCACTTCCAGTCTTATTTCCATCCACAAGATTTAATATCCAAGCATCTCATCTTCAAGACAAGTTTCTCTTAATTTTTCAAGATCTATCTTTCAGGACTAAATTACCAGTAATCCAAAAACTTAGCTAAACACACAACTACCTGTCGTATCAATAATAAAACAGATCTGTGATGATTCACCCCTCATATTGCTTCAACATCTAAGAGAAGAAACGCTCCCGCAACGAAAATTCTCACGAACATTCGCGAATTAAAAAATTGAAAGAATTGAATTGGCGAAAATCGTATCTTAAATCCAGTCTTATTTTCATCCACAAGATTTAATATCCAAGCATCTCATCTTCAAGACAAGTTTCTCTTAATTTTTCAAGATCTATCTTTCAGGACTAAATTACCAGTAATCCAAAAACTTAGCTAAACAAACAACTACCTGTCGAATCAATAATAAAACAGATCTGTGATGATTCACCCCTCATATTGCTTCAACATCTAAGAGAAGAAACGCTCCCGCAACGAAAATTCTCACGAACATTCGCGAATTAACAAATTGAAAAAATTGAATTGGCGAAAATCTTATTTTCAATCCAGTCTTATTTTCATCCGCAAGATTTAATATCCAAGCATCTCATCTTCAAGACAAGATTAAGTTTCTCTTAATTTTTAAAAATCCATCTTTTAGGACTAAATTACCAGTAATCCAAAAGCTTAGCTAAACAAACAACTACGTGTCGAATCAATAATAAAACAGATCTGTGATGATTCACCCCTCATATTGCTTCAACATCTAAGAGAAGAAACGCTCCCGCAACGAAAATTCTCACGAACATTCGCGAATTAACAAATTGAAAAAATTGAATTGGCGAAAATCTTATTTTCAATCCAGTCTTATTTTCATCCGCAAGATTTAATATCCAAGCATCTCATCTTCAAGACAAGATTAAGTTTCTCTTAATTTTTAAAAATCCATCTTTTAGGACTAAATTACCAGTAATCCAAAAACTTAGCTAAACAAACAACTACCTGTCGAATCAATAATAAAACAGATCTGTGATGATTCACCCCTCATATTGCTTCAACATCTAAGAGAAGAAACGCTCCCGCAACGAAAATTCTCACGAACATTCGCGAATTAACAAATTGAAAAAATTGAATTGGCGAAAATCTTATTTTCAATCCAGTCTTATTTTCATCCGCAAGATTTAATATCCAAGCATCTCATCTTCAAGACAAGATTAAGTTTCTCTTAATTTTTAAAAATCCATCTTTTAGGACTAAATTACCAGTAATCCAAAAACTTAGCTAAACAAACAACTACCTGTCGAATCAATAATAAAACAGATCTGTGATGATTCACCCCTCATATTGGTTCAACATCTAAGGGAAGAAAAATCCATCTTTTAGGACTAAATTACCAGTAATCCAAAAACTTAGCTAAACAAACAACTACCTGTCGAATCAATAATAAAACAGATCTGTGATGATTCACCCCTCATATTGCTTCAACATCTAAGAGAAGAAACGTTTCCGCAACGAAAATTCTCACGACATTCGCGAATTAAAAAACTGAAAAAATTGAATTGGCGAGAAATTTCGATTTTTCTTATTGTTAAATGCAAAACATCGGGGGGGCGTGGCAAATAGATGTCTCTCTTGAATTATTATTACGTAATAAGGCGCGCTTTTCACGTGATCCGAGTAAAGAACAAAATCAGTCAAGCATATGAATATTTTCGTTATGTTTTGGGGTAAATACTGGCAATTATATCAGAATCGAATGTGCTCGTTAGTTTAGTGTCGTCGAGGTGCATTCGATGCCTCATTTTTGTGCAATGAAATTGATAACTCGATGCAGAGGCGACTCCGAGAGGCGCCTGACGTCTGTATTTGCCGTCGTCGCCGTCGCGACTACACCAGTCAAAATCAATAGTCGTCCAATGGAAAAAGCGATTAGACTCGACGGGGAAAAATCAATATCAATCGAGTCCCTCGAATTTCAAAGGACCCGAGGAGGAATTATTAATTGATTTTGGGACTGTTCAGTGGTCTTGGAGCTGCCACTCCGATAATCACAAAGTAATTTTCTCTATTGAAATCGACATGTCTAGGTGAAGGATGCATTATAATTTGATAAGTACCTTTGTGTGACGAATTGATCGGGTAGGGATGGCAAGTCGAGTGACCCAACACACTTAGTCTCACGAACAATGAGATTTTCACGTTAATTGCACCACTGGGATCTTCGTCTACTCGTTTTTCGTCGAAACCATTGTCCCTCACGTGATGGAGTGCTACTTTGCGTTGCCCAGTGTTGGATGCTTCGACCCACCCGATCCGACAACTAAGCAGCGAAAACAGCTGACTGCCACACCAACACTGCTACCAACGTTCGGAGGCAAAGCCTAGGTTATTGTTTAGGGATTTACAATCTAGTTACTTTCCACGTAGCGATGGGCGATGTTTTAAATACATCGATTATCGAAGAATTGATGTTTTTCAAAAACATCGATGTTGCGAATCGATTTTTCAGAAAAAGACATCGATTATTTAAAAATTATTATAATTAATTATTATATATAATAATTTCCGCCACATTGTGATGAAAAATATTGTTCGTAACTCGTGAAAAAATATTTTTTAGCTCGTGGGATTATATCACTCGCCTTCGGCTCGTGATATAAACCTCCCACTCGCCAAAAAACACTTTTTTGCACTCGTTACAAAATATACTATTTTTTCTTCTCGAGGAACTGCTTTGGACATTACCTTCAACGTAGCGATGGGCGATGTTTAAATACATCGATTATCGAAGAATTGATGTTTTTCAAAAACATCGATGTTGCGAATTGAGTTTTCAGGAAAAAACATAGATTATTTAATAGTATATTTCGTAACGAGTGCAAAAAAGTGTTTTTTGGCGAGTGGGAGGTTTATATCACGAGCCGAAGGCGAGTGATATAATCCCACGAGCTAAAAAACATTTTTTCACGAGTTACGAACAATATTTTTCATCACAATGTTGCGGAAATTGGACTTTTAGGCACGCGGAGCGTGTCGAAAAGTTCACTTTTCGTCACAGCGTGATGAAAAATTTATTTCAATATTTTGTTTTTCTTCTCGAGGAACTGCTTTGGACATTCTTCGACTTCAGGCGATTCTTTTCTCAGACACAATTTGCCCAGATTTAGAGAACACTCATGAACGATTTCTCCCCTCGCACCTGACAGCCCATCATCGACAGTCGATACCATAGAAAATTACCATAAGTACAGAATACTTTTCACTCTCGATACTCGTTACTTTCTGGTTTCAAAAGTAACGATATAAAAGTAACGAATGGTTACTACGCGCACATCTCTCGTATTGTTTTCGTCGTTTCGTGTCGGTGAATAAGATCTCTGCTGGTTTTTACGTTCGGAGGGCAGTGCGAGGTTTTTGTTGGGGGAAACATACGTGGCCGGGTGGGAGTGATACTTATCAATTGAGAATAAGTCAAGAATAAGTGATTAAACTTCTCTTTCTTGGAAGACTTTTTATAGTATCTGTGAAATTTTGGGGATTTAAGGATGCTGAAGGCTGTTATATTAATTGGCGGACCTTTGAAAGGTATGAACTGACAGATGAACATTGTTTATGAAATTCAATAATGTGTAGATAGGTGATTCAGATAATGGGTAGGAAATAATATTCTAATGTAAGAATATCCAAATTTCGTCCGTTGGAATCTTCATTTTAGACTCTTGTTTGGGGGTGAAATATTTGTTGTCGTTTTTTGTATTCTTGATTCATGAGTATTTCCATGGAATTCGTCAATCAGGAAGGGTCTATTTTTGAATCACGAATTTTTCATTCTTGAATCAAAAACTCTGACGTTTGTAATTTAGCGAAACGGATAGCCTTGGGTAAAGCATATTTATTGTTGGGGCATAAGTATTGCTGATTCAAGAATTTTCAAATTCTTTATAAAATTATTGCACTTATGAACAATTTTTACAGATGCCATCTAAAAGTCCCCATCAAGACCGGTAAATATCGGGAAATTTACCGGTAAATTGTTAGCTGTGAACTAAGATTGTTTTGGGGAATAAATTATTTTTTAAAAGATTTCACCCTCATCCCATCCATCACAATGAAAAACAGAGCTCAATTTTTTTTCCCTTGTTTTTTATTCTGTAATCGATCTTTTGGATATAAAATGTAAATATCACAAGCTTCTTCTGACGAATGTCGTTAAAAATAAATAAATATTCAAGAACATTGTTTTTTTGAATTAAGAATAGCATCATCCTGATCCAAGAATGTTTTCAAATGATAAATAACTCTTAACTCACGAATATTCTTTCTCAAATTCGTTATGCAAAAAACCAATTTTCATTCAATAATTTCAAAACTCGTTATTCATCACAAAAAAATTTCTTCATTTAAGAATACTGTTTTACCCACGATAATTTCCATTGTCTACTTTGTAATTAGGTAAACCATTTCTCCCACTATCACCGTACATTCCAAGGCCCCCCTTCCCCTTTACGCGTCTCATAATGATTCAACATCACATTGAGGTCTGCGTCGAACTGATAAACCTCAAAGAAATTCTGATAATTGGCTCTTAGAACACCTTGAAGTCCTTGGATTACGAATATTACATACTTGAATAAAAAACATTTCATGTTTACGTTTAGGGGAGGGTAGGGTAAAATGGACACTTTTGACTTTTTTTGAAATATTCATGACGTGTTGAATTGTTCACGAAATGGAATCATTTTGTTTTTCAATTGAAAAACAATGATTCCTCTTTGTGATGAGATTAGGCTGAGATCAATTGATCAATCTATTTCTGAGTTATGAATATTTTTAAAAAAGTCAAGTGTCCATTTTACCCCACCCTCCCCTATGTCAAGATTTAAAAAATTATCAATTTCACAACACGCATGAATAAATTCAATAGAAAACCTAGCAAATTCGTTAGAAAATCCTATGGGAATTCTATAGGTTTTCTATAGGATTTCTATTGAAAAATTCTATTTTTATTGCGCTGATTCTATTAGATGTTTAATAAGAAAAAGTCAATACATTTCGAATTTCTGTTTGAATTTTTCTCTTAGATTTTTTCTATTAGAATTATTGGGTCCAAATTTGCTAAGTTTTTCCGTTGGATTTTGTTTTGTTTTGCATTGCAGAATCCGAGTGGAAAAACCTTAGAAAATTGATGTCCAAGCATTCTTACAGAAAAAATCTCAAGAGAAAAATGCAAACAGAAATTCGAAATCTATTGACTTTTTCTTATCGAAAATCCAATAGAATTCTATAGCCAATTCGCTAGGTTTTCTATTGAATTTTTTCATACGTGAATTTAAAAAATTCTCAATCAAGTCTAATATTCTTCCTCTTACAATAAATAATGTTCCCTGAAATCCTCCGATTAATACGAACGAATTTGATTCAATAATGAAAAAACCCTAACTCAAAATTACAAAACTGTTCCAATCAAAAATAACATTTTCAACTAAAGAATACTATTTTCCCAATAATAATATGGATCATCTAATGAATAATTAGGGACCCGATTTCGTCCACTATCCCTGGACATTCCAAAGCCCCTCTTCCCGATCGCGGGTCTTCCAATGATCCAACATCACATCGAAGCATGCGTAAAACTGAAAAACCTCAAAGAAATCCTGATAATCGGCTCTTACAACGCCAGCGAACTCGAGAACTTTGTCCAAGAGATGATGGATATCTACGGAATAAGCATACGTTACCTCCAAGAATTCACAGCCCTCGGTACTGGCGGTGGAATGTATCACTTTAGGGATCAGATAAGAGCCAGTGGTCCCGAGGCATTCTTCATAATGAATGGTGACGTTTGCGCGGACTTTCCTCTGGAGGAAATGGTGGAGATGCACAGTAACAATTCAGCCGTACTGAGTGTTATGGCGACAGAGGCAACGAGACAACAGTCACTGAATTATGGGTGCATAGTGCCGAGTAAAGAGGATTGTAGACAAGTTGTTCATTATGTGGAGAAACCTTCCACGTTTGTCTCTACTCTCATCAATTGCGGGGTTTATCTAGCTTCTCTGGATATTTTCCAGTTCATGGCGGATGTTTTTTATGCCAGGCATCAACAGGATAAATCAATGTACGTAGTAAATAAATAAAGAGGAACATCACGTATGAAAAAATCCCATAGAAATTTTCTCCTATAGAAATCCTATTGAAACATCTACAATCAGAATGAAATATTCCCATGAACATTGTTTACTGATTCACCAGGCAAATCAATGGAAATGGAAAAGATTCTGCACACATTTCCCTGGAACAAGACATCCTAACTCGACTATCTGAAACTGGAAAGCTTTGCGCACTGCAAACGTCGAATTGGTGGTCACAAGTTAAGACAGCAGGAGCAGCGATCTACGCAAATCGACATTACCTGGCTTTATACCGGTCAAAGGCGCCAGAGCGTTTGGTATCTCCAGCAAGTGGAAAGTGTCAGATAATCGGAGATGTTTTTATTCATCCCTCTGCTGTTGTTGATCCTGCTGCCACGGTAATTATTGCTATTATTTAATTAATTCCATGAATAGAAATTCCATTCTCGTTTTTTCTAGATATTTTTTATTTCGTATTATACGAGATGTTTTAGCACTAAAATGCAACAAGAAATCAAACTTCCACTGTAGAAGAGATTTTTTTTTTAATTGTAACCAATTTTTCAATATTCAGAATTTTGATTAAAAAACGATTTTATCCCACAGAAAAAGGAGTTCAAAGACTTCAAACAACTTTTACTCTATTTTGCTATTAAACGAATGGAGCGGACACGAATTACATTTTTTCTTTTCATCTAATTACTCTCAATCAATCATACATTATTAATTGAAACATGAGAAAAATCAAAATCTATTAACTTTTTTCTATCACATGTCTCTTAATAAAATGGCACGGTAAATTTTCATAATCTTCTCTTTTTTTATAGTATTCTAATAGAACTTCAAGGAAATTCTCATATAGTTCCAATGGAAATTCAGTAGAATTTCTTAGATAACGCGCAAGGTTTTTCTATTAATTTTTTTCAGCCATGAATGAATAAAAAAAGAATCCATGTCTTTTCAACTAGGGGACATTTCAAATCCTCAGATTTAAATACACGTCAAACGGATGAAATTATTATTAATTATTACCGTTAATAATTAAATAGTTGAAAAGGCTGGATTCCCTAAATCTCTCAAAGCGTCAACAATTCAAACAAAATATTCGTGTGCTTACGAATATCAATATATGTCTACATTATCCGGTGAGAAATTTAAGGGGATCACACACACGAAAAAATTTAATAGAAAAACCTATCGAATTCGTTAGAAAATTCTATTGAATTTCTATTAAACTTTCTATTAGTTTTTGGCTGATTCTATTGACATGTTCAATAGAAAACATTCAATAGAAAAAGTCAACAGAATTCGATTTGTCTGTATAACTTGCTCTTTTCATATATTTTCTATAGAATTTGCTCGACTCGAATTTTCCAAGTTTTTTTCATTCTATTTTTCTTTTCTTCTCCCCAAGAAAATCGAACGAAAAAACTTGGAAAATTTGAGCCGAGGAAATTCTATAGAAAATATCTCAACAGAATAAGTTATATAGACAAATCGAATTCTATTGACTTTTTCTACTGAATATTTTCTATTGAACATTTCAATAGAATCGGCCAAAAACTAATAGAACAGTTCAATAGAATTTTTTAACGAATTCGATAGGTTTTTCTATTACATTTTTTTGTCCGTGGAAGGCCTTCGGGCAATGGCCATTCGTAAGAATGTATGTTTCTTGCAATAAATAACGTTAAAAGTTAAAGTTAATTCGCTCATGATTCAATTAATCAGGGATCTTTCAAATTTCTCCAGAATAAAATATATCAATATCTCCTCTGTTGTTTCAGTTGGGCCCCAACGTAAGCATCGGACCAAACGCTAAGCTGGGAGCCGGCGTGAGAATACGTGAATCCATTGTCCTCGCAAATTCACAGATCCAATCTCACTCGATGGTACTACACAGCATAATAGGACGTGGTAGTATCGTCGGAGAGTGGGCAAGGGTTGAGGGTACCCCATGCGATCCAAATCCCGATAAACCATTTGCAAAAATGGAAAATCCCCCATTGTTCAATATCAATGGAAAACTTAATCCATCAATTTCAATATTGGGCACGAGTGTAACTCTCGCAGCCGAGCGAATTCTCCTGAACTCAATCGTGCTGCCGCATAAACAACTGACAAGAGATTTTAAAAACGAAATTATTCTCTGAGAATTTTACATTATTCTTTCTCAAAAGTATTCGCGGCATAATAAATGAAAAATAAATTGCATTGTAAATACTGATTATTTCCTCGGATTTGTGGAGAAATGAAGATTTTCTATCGGAACATTCGCACAAACTTTGTATAATGTACAATGAATTTTACAATAAATCTTAATGATAATAGCATGTCTTGTCACGATGTGAACCCAGTCGAAACGTGTGTTTACAGCTAAGACGAAAGGCACATCAAATGCCAATTCACGAGATAATTCAATGAAAAACCTAGTGATTAATGAAGAATAAAAATATAGTGGTATAAGAAAACAACAAACAATTCCTAGTCCAGATAGATGCAGAAAAGGAAGTAACGAGACCAATTAAAATTGAGACAAAATGTTTAGATGTCAATTCTAAATTTGTTTGTGACTAAATTACCGATTTCATTGATCTGAATGCATTTTATTTCGTTCAATTGAAAAAGAATGCATTCAGATCAATGAAATCGGTAGTTTGGTCATAAACAAATTTAGAATTAACTTCTAGACATTTTGTGGTCCATTTTTTTTGTCTACCTGAATTTTAATACATTTTTTTTCGTTCAATTGAAAAAAAAAATGCATTACAATTAAGGTGGACAAATAGGCCAAAAGCATCATTGGATAAAACTCTCTTCGAATGAGTTTAAAGTGACCTGTGCGACTGTCTCCATGACTAAAAAATTTATCTAATCAGTTAATTGCGCGATAATCGTACATAAACAAAGATGAATACAAAGTGGAAAAAGAATAATAAAGTAATGACCAAAACTGAAAACGAAAACAATTCCCAAACTGCCCAGTTTATAACGTATTTGAAGATTTAAGGGGAGACTACTATGAGTTTTAAAAGTCGCGGGCGATTGGAGTGAGATTTTTCATTCATTGAAGATCGATTATATATGTGTAATAACAAATAATTAGTGTAAAAAAATTAATTGTTCATAAAATGTTGAAAATATTCCAGGGCCTCCAATTTTTGAACTAAAGGTTTCTTTTTTTTCACAATTTTTGAAGGAATGTGTGCAATAATAATTACGAATTATTTTTTTGAAATTCCACTCCTTTTGTTTAAAATGCAAATTTTTGCAATTTGTGTAAAATAGGCAGAAAAATTATCCTTAAAATATTTAAAATATACTCTCGATTCTTTCAGAAACATTTTTCGAGCTATTTCAGTAGCGAAGTGGTAAAAGGAGATGAGTGCATTTTTTTCTCGAAATTCGTAATATTATTATTACCATTTGAAAATTAATATTTCATTGTGATTCACACAAAAAAAAATTATTTTTTTAAAATGCACTCATCTTCTTTTACCAGTTCGCTACTGATTTTACATGAATGGTGCAATTTTTTATTGAAAAAATTAAATAAATTTTATTGAAAAATAAAAATTAAAAATTTTATTGAAAAAATATTTTATTGAAAAAATAGCAAAATTAGCTGTGTAGCTGTGTAGTTGAATTTCAAAAAAATTAATTCGTAATTGTTATTGTACACATTTTTTCAAAAATTTTGAAAAAAAAAACCTCTGTAGCTCAAAAATTAGAGGCCCCGGACTATTTTTAACATTTTAACTATTTTAATTGAACAATTAATTTTTTTTCACTAATTATTCATTTTTGGACATAGGGGAGGTTGGGGTAAAACGGACACTTTTGACTTTTCAAAAAATGTTAATGAGGGCTTGAAATGTTGATAAAATTCAATAATTTCAGAACAATTCTTTCCCTTTGTGACGACCCTAAACTGAGCTCAATTGATCATTGTCTCTGAGTTATGAATAATTTTAAAAAAGTCTAGTGTCCGTTTTACCCCCCCCTCCCCTATATAATCGACCTTCAATGTATGCAAAATCGCATTTCAATGGCCCGCGACTTTTAAACCTCGTAGTAGTCTTCCTTAATAAAATTGAAACGAAAAATATGAGTAACCAGTTACAATAACAACTGAACAAACTAAATAGCTAAATAAACTGCAATTCAATAGCGAAGTGTTAAAAGGAGATGAGTGCATTTGAAAAAAAAATTTCGCGTGAATCACAATGAAACATTGATTTTCCACCGGCAAAATAATATTACGAATTTAAAAAAAAGCACTTATCTCCTTTTACCTCTCCACTCCTGAATTATGCTCAATGAATTGGATAATTATCCAGAATTAATAATCAACGAAGACCCCAACAGAAATTCATTAAAAAATGAATAATCTCAGATAACTTAGTTTTGAGGCATTCGCGGCCATTATTAATGACATTATTGGCTTCCGGAAAAAAATCCGATCAATCGACACTAGACGACCGTCTGGAGCCACTTGGAGGCCCAATCCACGAGGAATTCTTCACGGAATAATCATCCTGAATTCCGCTCGAGGGAAATTTTCGTGGGGGTGGACGAGTTCGATGCATTCCTCAAGAGCGGCGCTGTTATGTTATGCTTGGTCCACGTCCTTTGGTGCAGAGAAAAGCATCGGAACGAGTCCGAATGCTCCTGCCGTCGAGAGATTCCCTCTCATCACCTCAGACCCCCATCCCCCCACCACAAAACGAACTCTCACCTCTCGTCAGGCGCAGTCGCGAGGCTGTAGCTGCAGCCACGCTGCTACCAACGTGCGCGTGACTGCACGTATGTGTGCGTGACTTTTTAATAAAATAGTTTAGTCGTGTCAACAGGTAGTACGAGATGATCTCCCCTATTTCGAAGATTTCGTTTTAAATTTTTGTGCATTGTGAGCGCGCGGGGGGATTCGCGGTGGATATTATGATGCACTGTGCCCGGTATTGCTGAAATTTACGTGACAGTATCGGTGGAGCAGTGCGTGAACTCGCGAGTGCATTCTTGAGATTCCGGAATTGCTCCAGGTTGATCAGTGCTACATTCAGATTAACGGTGGCACTTCCATAAACACTCGTCAATGACACGCCAAGAATGTGGTGAATATCTCGTGGACTTTTTTATTTTTTATTCCAAGTTGCCGAAGAGTCATTGAACTCTCAAGGTTTCCCATTCTTTGTATTATTTCAATGATTATTTATCTGTTGTGATGGCTCTGGGCCGTTGTCGGTCAGTTCCAGGGAGGAAATAAAAAATCCAAGAAGTCTCCGGAAATAATTCAATTCATTTTTAGCATTCAATAAACAGTCAAATAATGTCTTTATCATTTGTGGGAATTTGAAATCCAATTTTAGCTATATATTTTTTACTCTTTCTAATGAGTTTTGACCAGACCCAATTGATGGATTTTATTGTTTGAATTTTTCTGATGATTTTTCAGTATTTGTATTCATGCACTTTTGAATGCTGTGAAACTTTTCAATTCCATTTCCATTTATCGTAATGGAATAGTAATTTAAAGGAATTGTTGTTTCCAGAAAAACTTTTATCAATAAAAAATGCCACTGTAACCAGACCCTGGATGATTCAAATGGGCAACAGAACCCATTCAATCCATTGTGGTCTACTTTGAACACCCACCCCATTACACGAATTTCCATTCATTAAATTCATGGAATTTTGTTATGCAAATTTATTGTTGTTTGTTTTTTCAGAAATTATTTTCTGAAGTAAATTGGAGGCTTTTTAGCATTCAATAAACAGTCAAATAACGTCTTTATCATTTATGGAAATTTGAAATCCAATTTTAGCTATATATTTTTTCCTCTTTCTAATGAGTTTTGACTAGACCCAATTGATGGATTTTATTGCTTGAATTATTCTGATGATTTTTCAGTATTTGTATTCATGCACTTTTGAATGCTGTGAAACTTTTCAATTCCATTTCCATTCATCGTAATGGAATAGTAATTTAAAGGAATTGTTATTTCCAGAAAAACTTTTATCAATAAAAAATGCCACTGTAACCAGGCCCTGGATGATTCAAATGGGCAACAGAACCCATTCAATCCATTGTGGTCTACTTTGAACACCCACCCCATCACACGAATTTCCATTCATTAAATTCATGGTATTTTTTGATGCAAATTTATTACTGTTTGTTTTTTCAGAAATTATTTTCTGAAGTAAATTGGAGGCTTTTTAGCATTCAATAAACAGTCAAATAACGTCTTTATCATTTATGGAAATTTGAAATCCAATTTTAGCTATATATTTTTTCCTCTTTCTAATGAGTTTTGACTAGACCCAATTGATGGATTTTATTGTTTGAATTATTCTGATGATTTTTCAGTATTTGTATTCATGCACTTTTGAATGCTGTGAAACTTTTCAATTCCATTTCCATTCATCGTAATGGAATAGTAATTTAAAGGAATTGTTGTTTCCAGAAAAACTTTTATCAGTAAAAAATGCCACTGTAACCAGACCCTGGATGATTCAAATGGGCGACAGAACCCTTTCAATCCATTGTGGTCTACTTTGAACACCCACCCCATTACACGAATTTCCATTCATTAAATTCATGGAATTTTGTTATGCAAATTTATTGTTGTTTGTTTTTTCAGAAATTATTTTCTGAAGTAAATTGGAGGCTTTTTAGCATTCAATAAACAGTCAAATAACGTCTTTATCATTTATGGAAATTTGAAATCCAATTTTAGCTATATATTTTTTCCTCTTTCTAATGAGTTTTGACTAGACCCAATTGATGGATTTTATTGCTTGAATTATTCTGATGATTTTTCAGTATTTGTATTCATGCACTTTTGAATGCTGTGAAACTTTTCAATTCCATTTCCATTCATCGTAATGGAATAGTAATTTAAAGGAATTGTTGTTTCCAGAAAAACTTTTATCAGTAAAAAATGCCACTGTAACCAGGCCCTGGATGATTCAAATGGGCAGCAGAGGCCCATTATGGCCCACTTCGAGCAGTCACTCCATCAGCACGAATTCCTACCCCTGTGCGATGTACTATTCAACATAATATCACTAGCGTCTTACTTCTGTGATGTTGTTTTCGATCTGGCGATGGGGTACGCTCTAGCGAATCATCCGACAGCTCCGTCAATATTTTTTCCACTGAGCATTGGATTCGTGATTGCATCGCTGATAATTTCACAGGTCAGTAATTCACATTCAACAATTTATTCCAGGAAAATCCATGACAAAATATTGTAATGAACGAATTGGTGATTAGATCATAAGCATGCGGTGGTACTTATGGGGCGCCCGCGGGAAACTCACCATCCACGTCGCGTCAGAGGACTCGTCATCTGGCAAGAAGAAATTAAATTGGACTGTATGGTGTGTCATCGTTCTTCATACCACGCAGATCGGAGTCCTGTGGAGATACTTTAAATTATTTATTCCTGTCAATTTGACGTTTGTTAAACATGAGGTAATTAATGTAATCAATTATTATTGAAATCAATATTTCGGATTTTTTAAATAACATTGTTTAATATTTTTTACTTATGAGAATCGAAATTTAATCAGACGTATTTTGAAATTCGAGAATTAAACTTCAAGAATTAAAACCAATTGTTCATATAGAAAATCCAAAAAAACTTGAATAAAATTTTAACGAGTAACAAATTTATTCAATCGATATAAATTCATGAGAATAACAGCAATTCAACAGACATACACTGAGAGAAAATAAAAAAATTTGCTCAAACAAATTAAAATTTGCAAAAAAAATCTAGTGCTGCCCTTCCATTTGAAGATTGTTCTGAGATGAAAAATTTTTGACGCAAAAATAGATTCAGTTGTTCCAGAAAATTTTATTTGCAATGCAAACGTTGAGACTAACAGATTCAAGTCAAACAATTTGTTTTGTGGTGGCTTTTACCAAAAACTAATTGTTTTTTATAATAAATGTCACAAATTAATCAACAGGTCCGAGAGCTATGCGTTCTCCGACTGATCCACGCATTCTGCGAGGCAGCCCCAATGCTCCTCCTTCAATTATACCTCCTCTCGATAGGAATTGGTAACAACGTGGTAAAAGAGGGAAGAACAGAGCTAGAGTCAGAGACCTGGGATGCCAGTAAACTGGGTGAACTAACAGCTGTGTCAGCAGGTTTATCCCTCTGGAGTGTGTGCTGGGCAGTAGCAAGTTTCAGTAAAGGTGCGGCAAATAACTCAAATAATGTTTTTTTCATTTAAAGAATACAAAAAACTGGAAGATAAATTTTGAAGAGTAACAAATACACTTAACAATACATTTTTCCTCTTTGCAATGGGTTTAAACTAATGACATTATTGGACTTCTTATTGAATCCTAAAAAGCGGAGGCTAATAATTTCATTTTCTTTCACAAAACATGAAACAAATACAGTCGACTGTAGATTTTCCATTGATTTCGTTAATTGAATTAATCTGATAATGTATTTGCATTTAGTATTTCAGTCGAGTTTTCGAGGAATATCTTCGAATCTAAGGGAGATAACGTAATCTTCGTAATGACCTTTTTCGTAGAGTGAATTGAGGGCCACAAACGATGTCATAACAAAAATTTTGCTATCTGCCTTCGATTTCGAGGTATTCATTGAAAACCGGCCAATAGTCAAAATCGACTCGAACCGTTTTACACTTTACTACTGAATTCGATCAAATTCATCGAAATTCTGGATGTAATTCTTTACGGATGTTTATCCAAAATCGCAAGTACTTCCAAAAAAATTGATTTTTTTAAAACTGAGAGATGAAGATATTCCCTTCACTTTGATCCAAATTTCAATCCACCAACCCACATTCATTATTTCGAAAAGCAATAGACAAAATGCGCCAAATGCATGCGCTAACATGCGCTTATATAAGCCAGAATCATTCAAATATTTCCTCTTTTTGCCCGGATACCCCAGATTTTTCTCTGGCCATTGGATTCAGTATGATTTTACACATTACCTTCCACTTTTATTTCTATTTTTAGAGTCTTCTAGTATCTGAATTATCAATTTGAACATCAATTTCATAAGACCCCGTGTATAAGGAAAAATTAGTTTATTCATTTCCGCCGAGACTATTGCGATTAATTCTTTTTAACGTTAGAAAAGTTCGTTTTATATGTTCTGCTGTCAGCCGAAAAAGCAACCGAATTTTCCTTGACCATGAAAAAAAACACATTTACCCACCGGCTAAACATCTTTAAAGGTGCCGCAAGGCTCAGGAACTTGGAGCGCCTGGTGCTGACGTGGCTGGGGGTGCTGGCACAGCTCGCGTGGCGGCTGGGAACGGTCAGTGCTAGAGTGGGAGCCCTGGTTGCCTATGCCTCCCTTTACGGAGGCCAGTGGCTGCTAATCGTCATGGCTCTGCACTGGCTATCAATGCTCATGTGGCTGCTGCTGACCCCCGACGGCCTCTTCCACGGTGGAGAGCGCCTCTCATTTACCAGGAAAACCTTCCTCGCATCGTTACTCGCGTTCGTCTACGTCTTCGCTTACGTGAATCTCCACGAGACGAATCATCGACAGAAGATGCTCATATTTTACACTGTTATGTTCCTGGAGAACAGTCTGTTGATCGGCGTGTGGGCTGTGGGGATCAACGAGAATCACCTCAGGTTTCCCAGTCAACCGAAACCGGCGATTCTCATTTTAATTCTCACTGCATTGTTTTTCGGTGGATTGTGCTTCATGGCGCTGTACTACCGATTCTTTCATGTTAGGAGATTGAGGTACGAGGCTGGGGGAAGAATGAGTGGAAATAGTGCGGCTACCACTCTCTCCAGTCATGTAAGTTTAACCATTCGTAATTAATTCATTAATTAGGAGGAATTAGAAGCTGAATACAAATGAAATCGAAATATTTTATTTCTTTTTAATTCATTTTTTATTTATTTCAATTTATCATTCATAATTTTTATTTTATTTTAATGTATACATGAGGTAGATAATAATAAAAATATTGTATAATCGCAGTACTTTCGTATCGACATCAAACTCATGAATTTTCATTCGCATTTTCAGGGTAATAATGGAGAAAAAAGAATGGATTATTATGACACGAAGAAGTTATCAAACGGTTTAAACATCAGCATGCAAAAGGTGAAGTTAAGCAACAACGGAATTCCTGGGGTGTTCAATTGTCGCTTTGCCAACCCTGCTGTATCTAATCTCAACAGAAAGAAGAAGAAACCAACGACGTTTGTGCCACCCCCTCCGCCTCCTCAGGCACTAGGTGATACGAAACACTGGAATAACAGTAAGACGAATACCAAACAACTGATTCCTTTTTGGAAGCGACCACTGTCGATTGCTGACAATTATGTGAGTTCAAATGTAACATTATCGATTCCCAATTTCATTCTATTCAATTTACTTTTTTCATTTATTATAGAATCTCCTTCATCTCGAGGCCATTGTGCGGTCCTTTGAAATTTTACAGCGCGGGTGAATTACCTTTCGAACGTGATCTTAGTTGTTTTTTTTTTTATTTTGATAATCTTAAATTATCTCTAATTGCTATTCAGTTTTACATAGCCCTGGAGTCTTCACAAATTATGATTGTACAATCAAAAAAACGTTGAAGAAAGGCTGAACATTTTCAAAGAACGTTTTTGAATAATATTGGGAAATAAACCCAATAGGGAGGAAATTGGAAATTAATAATTTGATGTATCTAGTGGCTGTCAGATCGTTAGTTACCATGATAATTATCCATTCACTATTTCCTCTCTGTCGGACTTATTTCTTAATCTTATGAAAACTCTACGAAGCAGTAACAACATGCACGAAAAAACTCCACAGGGAAACCTATCGAAGATTCTATTAATTTTTGGCCGGTTCTATCGGAAAGTTCTGAGACTTTACTGTTTTATTTAAATAAATAATCAGTTGAATTTTATTTGACTATACAAGTTTCTTTACTGAGGCATTTCCTATGCGAATTCCTCGACATGAATTTTCTAAATCTTTTTTACTCCATTTCCCTTCTCTTTTCATAGAATGAAACATCTCACCAGAATAAGCTTTACAGAAAAATTGAATTCGCTAGATTTTTCTACGAAATTTTTTCGTAGAAAACCCCAACAGAGAGGCTGTTTTACTTATTAGAAATTGAATACACATGCGACAAATGCAAATTCTATTCCTAAAGCTATTTTCAAATGAATTCACCATCAAATTAATGTCATCATCTCGCCCTCAACAGGAAGACGATCAAAATGACAAGAAGAACGACGTGGAGCGTCCAATGGGCTCATTAAACATAAATTTAATCCGCGAAAAATTGCGGGAGAAGAAGCAACAGCAGTTACGTGAATTACGCGCTATTCAGGAAGAAATAAGAGAGGGAAAATTGGTTCCACCTCCTTCGGCATCGGCTACGTCCCTATCTTCCTCGATTTCGGCGGCTAATCAGCAACCCCCGCCGAGCGCCAAACTGCACACATCTCCGAATTCGACTGTATGTCCAGTCTCTGCGTCGTCGTCTCCCTTACGTGACGCCGGCAATGGGGCCCCCTTGACTTCGTGGCCCCCGATCAAGATGCATTGTTTATTACCCCCACCGCCGTCTTCTTCGTTTCATCCTGTAACACTTGCTTCCAATATTTGGAAGGATTTGGAGCAGCGGGAGAGACATGACACTTCGGAAATTTTGTTGGCTCCGAGGTGTTTGCCACTGGCTTCGGGACATCATTATCCTCATTGGACACCCGAGCACAGGTTGATATCTTACATCAATGATCATTATTGAATTTTTTTTCTGTTCTATGAAGTGATGAAGTGATGGAATACAAGGATTTTTTTCAATTGCTACACTGCTAGAAAAAATTTAAACTTCATGGATAGTTGACTAGCAATTTTCTGGAGAACGACACTGAATTCGATTTACGGGGGAAAATCATGAAATTACAGGTTTAGTTGGGACTTCAATGAAATTGCAAATTTTTGAGCAGCAGAATGAAGAAAATTCCTCAACTCATTTGAACTTTCAATTAATTAAAAATTTGAGAATGTATTTACCAGAGTTTTCCGGAATTTTAGAAATTTTTATGGAGTAATTTAACTGAAATTTACAGTTTTCATCCATTTTTCCATCAAATTTTCAATTTTCAATGATGAAATTCCTTAAAATTTCAGTAGAAATATAATATGATAAAAATTTCCATGAATTTTGCCAAGAATTTTTGACAGTACACAATAGTCTAATTTCTGCACTATGATAAATAAAATTGAATCTGATATCTAATTCTAGCCAAAATGGTGAGGATGATAGTTCCAAAGGTGAACCAGAGGCTGGAGAAGAGATAAGTGACATGGAGGGCAGTCAAGATTCCCTCCCAAAAAGTCACACCCTCCCACGAGAGTTCAAATACAATAACGAAACTAATCAAGGACGAGAGCGTCGTGTTTACGTCAATAGACCGTATTCTTCGAGGTTTCTGCAACCCTCAAACAACAGTTCTGATGGTGAATTTCCATAATTGAACACGTACAAAAAAATTTCATAGAAAAATCTAGGGAATTCGCCAGAAAACTCTATTGGATTTCTGTGGAATTTTCCATTAGACTTTAGCCATTTCCTTTGAAAAATTCTGGAGGTTACTGCGCGTTTTTTAAATTGGGAATTTCCGACGGGAAATAGTCTACAGAAAAAAATGGAAATCAATTTTTCTATTCAACTTATTCTCTTGAGATATTTGCGATAGAAATTCTTCGGTTCAAATTTCCCAATTTTTTTTTGTTTGATTTTTTCTAATGAGAAGAGTTAAAAAATAGAGTGAAAAGAGCTTGAAAAATTCATGTCGAGGAATTCCTGTAGAAAATGTCCCAATAAAAAATTGTATGGAAAAATGAAATACTACAGACTTTTTCTATAAAATAGTTTTTATTGGACATTTTCTATAAAAAATGCCTAAGAGAGCTGAGGAATTGTCCAATAGAACCAGCCAAAAACTAATAGCATTTTCTGTAGAATTCGCCAAGTGTTTTTATGACATTTTTTTGTGATATATTTCTCCTTCAAAAGTACATGTTTCTAACTTTCCGATTGCTACGAATTCCAGGTGACGTCGATAGTGCCGATAACGACGAAGAAACAGATTCAGAGCTGCAGGGTGACGTGAGAAATCTCCACGCCCTCAGCCACGAGAACGACGTGCAAAGGCGATTTGCATTCGAAACCGAAGAAACCATTGATCATGGGAGTTCCGTGGCCAATGGTGTGCTGACGTCCATGGGAACTCTCTGTTATTTAAATAATTCGTATGGCTCCAGGATGAACCAAATGCTCAAAGTTAAAGTCAAGCATGAGACTAAATTGTGAGATGGCGTACTCAAACATTTTCCCAAAAGATCATTATTTTTTAATGAATAACACGTACGAAAAAATTCCATAAGAAAATCTAGCCAATTCGTAAAAACATTCCTTTAGATTTCTACTGAATTTTCGATTGTTTGGCCGACTATTGAAAAATTTCGCAGCTTATCTGCGCTTTTTTCAATAGAGATGTTCAATGGAGAATATTCTAGTGGAAAAATCAATAGAATTCGATTTTTCAATCATATTCTATTGAGATATTTGCTACAGAAATTTCTCGGCTCAAATTTTCTATTTTTTCCTTCATTGTCCTAATGAAAGGAGAAGGATAATACAGTGAAAAAAACTTCAGAAAATTCATGTCGAGGAATTCCTAAATATAGACAATGTTTTAATAGAAAAATTGTATAGAAAGATGAAATTCTACTGATTTTTTCCCTAAAGTAGTTTATATTGTACATTTGCTGCTGAATAGTTGGTCAAAAATTAATGAAATTTTCTATCGAATTCGTTAGGTGTTTCTGTGAATTTTTTCGTGTGTGAACTTAAGGAGACATAACAAGACTGGTTGACAAGAAGAAAGCCGCAATTCCCTCGATAAAATAAAACATTGAATTCCGTCCAGAATGTGTATCACTAATAATATCTGTGGGAATAGGTGACAGCTGGGGTATTTTAAACCATATTTTGACTCCGATTTAACGTTTAATAATACTTTTATTAGAATAATCAAGCAGCGTACAAATCTTCAGCACTTGTTGTGCGGCCATCTTGAAGAAAAACTATAATAAAGGCGTAATTGCGCGCGCGGGAACCCAGTTGAACTCAGACTCTACACTGAGAGGAAAACGACAAAGTTCTCAAACAAGTCTTACTTGTGCCAAGAAAATAGTTTTTTGAAAATTATCAAAAAATGATTTTTTGTGTTCAAAAAAAATTGCATTCCCTGTACACGCAAGAAATGTCATTTCTAGCACTACTCCTTCGTCATTCGATACTCCCATACGTATTTTGCTCGCGAAAAATCTTTGTTTTATGCGGAACAAGGGACAGTAGTTTTTCGTTTCGGCGGTCTAATAATCACAGACAACAAATGAACCCTAAAATGAAACAATAATAATGATATGATAGCAATCTTGTAACTTAGGGATAAAATATTTGTTGATAAATTCTCCTCTATATGAGATATTTTCATCCTGAAAAGGCACCGTCTGGTGTGAATTATCCGCCTCTTGAGCCAAATATTTCGTGGCTGTCGAAAGCAGAACAATTATTCATGTTTGAGACTTTCAAATTCGAACGAAAAAAATTCTTTTTTGGCAATTTTCAACTAGTGATTTTGTTGGCCCAAACAAGATTTGTTTGACAACGTGTTTGTTTTTCTCTCAGTGTAAGAAACAAAAATTACTGGAACTCAGAACTCCCTTGATCCATTCTCAACAATACTCTTCGTTCCGAACCCCTTAGTCGAGTTACCCCTACAATAAAAACAATTCCCCTACGTACTCATTACATTTGAATCTGTCACACAAACCAGACTGCCAGTAATCTAGAATCGTACTTTGAATATTTCCAATCGTCAGATATTTAGGGACAGTGCCTATTGTTTTTATATATATTCTTTTATACTATTTGTAAATAAAAATGCCTTATGCTGATTTTACGATGGCAGGGGAAATAAAAATGTTAGAAATTCGATTGCTACTGATTTTTTTATTAACCCTTTATTTCATGACTGTTTTTCTTCATTATTGTCGAAGAATATTTAAAAACCTTGAGATTTCATTTAATTCTCATTTTCACGATGAAAAATTGGAGCAATGGCAAGTATAAATCAAATAGAACTCTTCATTTAAAATTCTACAAATCATTTCAACGAGTTCATAATTTTATTTCAATGAAAATCCTTTCATTCGATAAAAGAATGAATAATGCATTCATTTTCTAATTAATAAATTATCTATTTGGATTCAATAAAACTCATCATTTTGTGATCATCTATTGAGTTACTCATTCAAATCATAAGTTTATGTTTTTATTCCAATGAAAATATTTTGATGATATGAAATAAATCAGTGATCAATTCATTCCAAACGAATCCTCCATTATCACATGACAGTAAATTCATGTCTGATTGATAAATTGTTTATCCGGATGAAAGAAACATTTCTTAAAACTCAACGAACAGTGCATCTGATCAGAATAAAAACGCAACTAAAAATAAACTTCAATTTCAAACAAAAGCTTAATCACGAGCCTTTCGAACTTGAGGGAAGACTACCATGAGTTTTTAAAGGTGCGGGCTATTGGAGTGCAATTTCTTATACATTGAAGATTGATTATATGTCTAAAAATGAATAATTAGTGCAAAAAAATTAATTGTTTATTGTTCGTTTGCCCGAAATCGCTTAAAATGCCAAAAACAGTCCAGGGCCTCCAATTTTTTAGCTACGAAGGACTTTTTTTTTTCAAAATTTTCGGAAAAATATGTGGAATAACAATTACGAGCTATTTTTTTTTAATTCGCCTCTTACATGGCGCAATTTTGTTTTTTGTATTTTTTTACACAAATAGTGAATTTTTTTATATGGAAAAAACCGAAATCAGCTGTGTAGGAGTCGAATTTAAAAAACTGGCTCATAATTACTGTTCCCCACATTTTTCCAGAAATTTCGAAAAAAAAAATCTCTTGTAGCTCAAAAATTGGAGGCCCTGGACTGTTTTTAGCATTTTACGCGTTTTCGGGCAAACGAACAATAAAAAAATTTTTTTTTGCACTAATTATTCGTTGTCAGATCTACATAATCGATCGTCAACGTATGAAAAGTCGCACTCCAATAACCCACGACTTTAAAAACTCACAGTAGTCTCCCCTTAATTCAAATAAAAGATTTTCCAGAGTGAAGCCCAGAAACTCCGGAGCCGTGCACCACGCATGAGTTGGAGCAAGCCCGAGAGGGGGTAATGACGTAGTGGGAAAGGATTGAGAGGGGAGTAGAAGGCTCAGACACCGTGCGGCGGACCCGACTGCTGCAGTCGTCAAGTGGCAAGTGTCGAAATCCCCGATTTTTCCTTAAAAATTCCGGCCGATTCGCTGCACCCGTGAGACGAAAATACCGAATTGATCGAACCGATCCCCGATTGGTGAAGCCCCGTTGACATTATCCGCGCGAGAATCCCCCGAACCCCCGAAAAATGTCCAAACGAAGACAAAGACCAGACGGTGACAACAAAAAATGAAAGGGACTAATGAAATTGTGGCCGATGGGAATGCCTGGCGCTTCTCTGGCGTAATATCACGCTGAAGTGAGACGTGCGAGAGCGCCGACCATTTCCTCATTACATATTACTCCACAGCACTCGGTAATGCCCGCGAGCGTCCCACCGTCTCCCCTCGAACGATGGAATTTCGATTTTCACGTCTGAATAATTTTCGCTGCTAAATGTCACGGTGACAATTTCAACGAAAATAAAATGTGGACTGAGAGGGAACTGGAGAGCTGAACCCGAAGCGTGGAGAGACGCGAGGACACGAACCGTGATGAGGATTGTGCCACAAGGGAACGAGTACTACGAGTACCGTGACACTTATGGCTATCGCAGTGCGGTTGGATTAGAATTTTTTTGTAAATACAGGTGGCACATAGACGTGTCCAGTTGCTACGAAGGTGGCGGCAGTTGTGATTGTAGTGAATGTGATCGAGTGAATCGAGATGCTAGTGAACTGTCGGCACGGAAGCTACCGGTGTCGATTACGACGGTACTGTCGTTAACCGGCGAACACAATAACTTTATCTCGTAGGCACGGGGGATCGTCTCGTTTTTCACTCGTCTTGAGTTCATTTTCAACGGGATTTTAATGCATTGACGGGGACTGGCACTTCGGTTGGAGGTTAACAATGTACGGCCGGGGGGGTGGGGGCAGGGGTGATCGATTCAACTCGAGAGAGAACATGTTGGAGGTACTGCAACGGTGCCAGCGGTCCTGAAGTGCAGTTGAAATCGAGTGAAAAAAATTATTAAGCCGAGATGATCGGGATTAAACAGCTTTGGGAGTGAGGTTATTTGTTGGTGGAGGGACACTCTGAATGCGTTGACAGGTGAAATGCCTGTGTCCTTGCGATTGGGAGTCAATACACTTGACCATTGATAAGAGAGCCTCGTGGAAATTCATGTTGTCAGTGGAGTTTTGGTGTGTGAATTTTTCCTCGGGATCTGTGTGAGAGGGAAATTTTGGATAATTGGCCTGTCGAATGTCTCATCGAGGGGGGAATGGACTCATCGTAAATATAAACAACTGTTAATCAAAGTGCCGGAACATGCTGAAGTTTTTAACGCACAAACTGAGGACTCACTCACTTAACGAGGATCCAAATCAAGATAAGGTAGGGTGGTCTCATTGTTGTGACAATGCATGCACTGTGAGCTATTTTTTCAACTGTGAAATTATGTTGTTCTTTTGTTCTCACACCGGAGATCGATGAGGGGGAGTGAATTACCTTTATTGCTATCAAATCACAGCAGTCGATTCTCTTTGTTTATCGTGGAGCACATTAGGCTGGATGATTGAGTACGGGAATAGAACTGATTATTGGGGACTTCCGGTGGGGACTGCTTTCTAATGAAAAATCCGAATAAATTCGGGAATATTGAATTGTGTCGTTTTCTGAGATGTTTCGGTTTAATTTTTTATTTTTATGCCGTGAGGGTTCAATAGTATGGAGCCCTTTACGGGATTAAATCAATAGCGAAGGGGTAAAACGGTACAAGTCTATTTTGACTATTGACCGGTTTTTAGTGAATTTCTCGGAATCTAAGGGAGATAGCAAAATTTTTGTTATGACCTTTTTTGTAGAGCCGATTGAGGGCTACAACAAATGTAGTCACGAAAATTTCGCTATCTCGCTTAGATTCGGAAATATTCCTCAAAAACTCAACTGGGAGATGAGTCGATTTAAACAGTTTTACCACTTTGCTACTTAATTTTAGTTTTCTGCACGTTTTTTTTATAATCAATACAACATCAATAGAATTTGATTTTTCTTATTGAGATAGTTTAAAAGGAAACCAAATCAAATGCATTTTACCTACCAATACAGGAATAGAACTGATTATTGGGGACTTTCGGTGTGGAGTGCTGTCTAATGAAAAATCCGAATAAATTCGGGAATATTGAATTGTGTCGTTTTTTGAGATGTTTCGGTTTCATTTTTTATTTTTATACCGTGAGGGTTCAATAGTATGGAGCCCATTACGGGATTAAATCAATAGCGAAGGGGTAAAACGGTACAAGTCTATTTTGACTATTGACCAGTTTTTAGTGAATTTCTCGGAGTCTAAGGGAGATAGCAAAATTTTTGTTATGACCTTTTTTGTAGAGCCGATTGAGGGCTACAACAAATGTAGTCACGAAAATTTCGCTATCTCGCTTAGATTCGGAAATATTCCTCAAAAACTCAACTGGGAGATGAGTCGATTTAAACAGTTTTACCACTTTGCTACTTAATTTTAGTCTTCTGCACGTTTTTTTTATAATCAATACAACATCAATAGAATTTGATTTTTCTTATTGAGATAGTTTAGAAGGAAAACAAATCAAATGCATTTTACCTACCAATACAGGAATAGAACTGATTATTGGGGACTTTCGGTGTGGAGTGCTGTCTAATGAAAAATCCGAATAAATTCGGGAATATTGAATTGTGTCGTTTTTTGAGATGTTTCGGTTTCATTTTTTATTTTTATACCGTGAGGGTTCAATAGTATGGAGCCCATTACGGGATTAAATCAATAGCGAAGGGGTAAAACGGTACAAGTCTATTTTGACTATTGACCAGTTTTTAGTGAATTTCTCGGAGTCTAAGGGAGATAGCAAAATTTTTGTTATGACCTTTTTTGTAGAGCCGATTGAGGGCTACAACAAATGTAATCACGAAAATTTCGCTATCTCGCTTAGATTCGGAAATATTCCTCAAAAACTCAACTGGGAGATGAGTCGATTTAAACAGTTTTACCACTTTGCTACTTAATTTTAGTCTTCGGCCGATTCCATTAGAAAATTCTGGACGTTTTTTTTATAATCGATACAACATCAATAGAATTTGATTTTTCTTATTGAGATAGTTTCTATGAAAATTCTTCGACTAAATTTTTTTCCATCAAGTTTTAGAAGGAAAACAAATCAAATTCAACTTACAAATTCAACTAACAAAAACCTAGAGAATTCGATAGGAAATTTGGTTGGATTTCTGTTGGACATTGTATTAGTTTTCGATTGATTGGATTAAAAATTCCACAACTTATCTACCAGTTTTTTTTTAATGGGACATATTCTATAGAAAAAATCTATAAAATTAGATTTTTCTGCACAATTTATTCTAAATGAAATTCTTCTGCTTTGATTCCCCAAAATTCAACTTCACGCATGCGAAAAAAGTTTATAAATAAACCTAGAAATTTCGTTGGAAAATTCGGCAGCATATCTGCAGGTTTCGATTGAGTATTCAATTTTTCTGTACAATTTATACTATTGAGATATTTTCTATAGAAATTATCCAAGTTTTTGTTGGATTTTTTTATAAAAAAGGAAGAAAATCTCGAAGAAAATAGAGCGCAAAAAACTTGGAAAATTCATCTCCAGGAAGTTCTGTAAAAAGTGTTTCAATGAAATAAGATGTATAGAAATACAAAATTTTACTAATTGCTTCCATAAAACAAGTTTTTATTGGACATTTTCTATAGATACACATGCAGTAAAGGTGCAGAATTTGCCAATAGAATTGACCAAAACGGATAGAATTTTCAATAGAATTTCAATAGAAATTCAATACAATTTCCGGCCGAATTCGCTTAGTTTTTTCCCAAATTTTTTTCGTTAGACTATTATCTTACAACAAAATCCTCATATTGAAGCTTCAGTTTACTCATGAAGAATAAAAGAAAGATTGAAGAACTAGAAACAAATATACACACACGAAAAAGATAATCGAAAATCCTAGCGAATTCGTTGAAAATTTCTATTGCACTTCTATTGAACTTCCTATTAATTTTTGGCCGATTCTGTTGGAATGTTCAATCGAAAATATTCAATACAAAAAGTCAATCGAATTTCATTTTCCTATATAACTTATTCTATTCCGATATTTCCTATAGGATTTCCTTTGCTAAAATTTTCCAATTTTTTTTCATTCTATTTTCAATTTCAGTAGTGAAGCGGTAAACCGGGTTAAGGCGATTTTGACTATTGGCCAGTTTTTGACGAATATCTCGGAATCTAAAAGAGATAGAAATTTTTTTGTCATGACCTTTTTCGTAGAGCCAATTGAGGGTTACAAAAAAGGTCATGGAAAAATTCTGCCATCTCTCTTAGATTCCGAGATATTCATCAAAAACTGACCCAAAGTCAAAATCGACTTAACCCGGTTTACCGCTTCGCTACTGATTTCTTCTCATCAAGAAAATCAAACAAAAAAACTTGGAAAATTTGAGCCGAGGACGATCTACAGAAAGTATCTCAATAGAATAAATTTTATAGAAGAATCGAATTTTGTTGATTTTTTCTATTAAATATTTTCTATTGAACGTTTCAGTAGAATCGGCCAAAAACTAGAAATAGAAAATAAAATAGAACGTCCAACAGATATCCAGTAGAATTTTCTAGCGAATTCGCTAGGTTCTTCTATCGAATTTTTTCATCCGTGTGAATAGAGAACTGATGTACCTAACACAATATCTTGTGCCTTGTGGAAACACATGACACTTATGTTTCCTGGATACGTCCATATGATTAACATGACAGGAGCGAGCTGAGAGCCGAGTGAAGATAACGTGAATAATTCTTTAGGATTTCGAGATGTTTTGTCATCACTTTTTCATTGAAGATTAGACTTCTATGAAATTTTATTTACATGACAATGCAATGTTTACTTGAAACATAATCTTCTTCAAACGATCATACACGTCATTCAATTGATTATTCATTTTTCCTTATGAAGAAGATTAGAACAGAATAATGGACTGAGGGAGATCAGCTCACATGGTCAAGGGGCATCGATAGTCTATGTAACTGAGATTTTTCTTTCGATGACTTTTATTTGTCATTGAATGACCATTTGAGACAGTCATTTCAGCTTTCACCTCCCTCTTTGTCCCAGAAGGTGCTTTCAATTCAGTAGCGAAACGGTAAACTGAGTTAAGTCGATTTTGACTTTTGGGCATTTTTTGACAAATATCTCGGAATCTAAGAGAGATAGCAAAATTTTGCTCATCACCTTTTTTATAACCCTCAGTTGGCTCTACAAAAAAGGTCATGACAAAAATTTTTCTATCTCTTTTAGATTCCCAGATATTCGTCAAAAACTGGCCAATAGTCAAAATCGACTTAACCCGGTTTACTGCTTCGCTACTGAATTCTAAAGAATGAAGCTTGAACACTTTAAAAAGCAAATAAAAAATACCGAAAGCTGCAAAATGAGGAAAAATTGCAACATTCGAGTTTCCAAAAAAAATTGAGAACTTTATTGTTTTTCATTCATCTCGGAGCAATTTCAAGATGTTCAATGTAAACAGTCAAATGACTGAATACATTGAGAATTAATATACAACGATAGATGTATTATACATTGAGTATTTTGTGTTCAATATGATGAGTCGAATGACTACTGAATTCATTGTTAGAACTCAAACATTTTTTTAATCCACAGGCGGATGACAATCACGATTCGGGAACCGAATCAGATGATGAGTTTCAAGATGGCAGTGTCACTGGAAACGAGCCCTCTAGTCGTAAGTAAACATCAACAGTAAAAAATGGGCGAAAAATTGGGGTTACTATTGATACTAGTCGCGTATTCCAGACATTCGTCAGGGCTGCATAATCCCACTGAATAGCTGCACACAATTTGTCTAGATCATATTTATCCCGTGACATTATTCTCAAAATTTACTTTACTAGAACTGCGCGCGCGCTATCGCGCGCGCTTATCTATTCGTTGTGAACATGAGGAATTCGAATTTATTAAACTTCATATACTCATAGATGTTTTATAAATATTGATAATGACTTGAAGAGAATTAAGAGAATGAAGAGTGAAACATCAATGAATAATTTTTAATCTTCGATTAATTCTTTTTTTTTACTTTTTAAAATAATCTGATTAAAATCTGTAATTGTTGAAAAATGAGGAGAGGGTTATGAACTGATTTCCTAGAAAACTGAAAAAATTTCTTGAATTCTTTGGAAAATTTCAGTTTTCCAGATAACCGTAGATTTTCAAAGATTTTTCTCGAATTACTTGGGAAACCGAAGAATTTTCATGAATTTTGTAGAGTTTAGAATTTATCTATGAAAATCTGAGAAGCAAGAACTGATCATTTTTGCGGATGATAAATATGAAAAAATTAAAATTTGGGAAGTGAAGAGTAATTTGTGAGTTGAAAAAAATTTAGAAATGCTGTTTTTTTTCTTATGATCGACAATTAGGCAATTTAGATGTGTTTTGATATAAAGATAAACTTCGCACATGAAATAATGATAAATATGACACAGAAAAAATTCTTAGCATTTGAAGAATTTGTAAATACCGGGAATTTTTTTCAGCTACTACTTCACGTGACTCATTGACCAATCAGAATTGAGGATTAGCGGTCAGGCAGTTTCGAGATATTTCGATATAAAACGAAATTGTTTTATATTTAGATGTGTTTTGATATAAAGATAAACTTCGCACATGAAATAATGATAAATATGACACAGAAAAAATTCTTAGCATTTGAAGAATTTGTAAATACCGGGAATTTTTTTCAGCTACTACTTCACGTGACTCATTGACCAATCAGAATTGAGGATTAGCGGTCAGGCAGTTTCGAGATATTTCGATATAAAACAATTTCACGTTTCTTTCATCTTCATTAGTAAATAGGATCGTCTTGCCGTGAAAGTTGAAGTCTGTCATGTTGCGTGGGAGACCATTACCATTACTCAGTCACTAGTCCGCTTCTAAGATTTCTAAGATTGACCAAATGGACTCAACTTGATCCCTATATTTGGATTAAAAATATTGAAACATGAAAGACGACTAGTTAAAATTTCATTACACAAATTATGCTGTACAGTTTAGAGAATTGGAGGGCAAAACTGTATTTCAGGAATTTTAATTTGAAGTCAAGGGGAAAACGCGACATAAAGGGTGAATTTTACCTTTAAAACGTGATTTTGCACATTCCACCAGCAAAATTAGTGACTTAATCCTGACTGCTTAAAATTCCATATCTACACAAATAATAAAATCACACTGCCGGCAAAACGAACACACAAACAGACTCGTTCTTTTAGAATCAACTATTAGATACATAAAGTGCAAATACTTGGCGGAAGGCCCTCGGGCGATGGCCAGTTGCAAGTCCCTTGGAACTTGAAACAAATTCCGGTAAAAATAAAAATAAATAAAATCGCGCAAAAAATTACTGCGCAATCTGGAGAATTGTTGAACAAAACTACTTTGGAAATTTTCACTTTGAATGAAAAGGAAGACGGGAGGCAAAGGATGAATTTTCATCTCTGAAACGTCATTTTCATCACGCTGTGACGAAAAGTGAACTTTTCGGCACGTTCCGCGTGCCTAAAAGTCCAATTTCCGCCACATTGTGATGAAAAATATTGTTCGTATTGTTGAAATATACTAGTTCAACATCGAAGACTAAAATTAAAATTAAAGAGTCGTTACTGAAAAAGTCCAAGAAAGACAGTCTTCTTCACTGCATTTTCCCTGCAGTTTTTTTGTTCACTTTCATCTCCGTGTATCTTTTAAAAAAGTGAATGAAAAATTATTTCACGTACGAAAAAACATCATAGAAATACCTGGCAAATTCGCTAGGAAATTTTATTGAATTTCTAATTTTTGCTCATTTCAATTAAAAATATTTCCATTTTTTTGTCTATGTAATGACAAAAAAAACGGAATTGCAATAGAAAAACCTGCATAGAGCGACGAAATTCTACTGATTCTCTCAAAACAAAAACGCGCAGTAAATCCATGAAATTCGTTAATAGAATCGGCCCAAAAAAATAGAATTTTCAGAGCGAGTTCAATAGAACTCCAATAGAATTTTCTATCGAACTGGCTAGGTTCGTCTATGAAATTTTTGAGTGCCTGTTGTGAATTCACTATTTCAAAAACCAAATATAATAACTCTGTATTGAAATTAAGCAAGAAATTTGTTCTTCCACACTTTCTGACTTCTACTTGACCTAAAGTCAATAATGAATGTTATGACGTCATATTTATCTTCGTTTCATGCACAAAATCAAAAGGAATAATTTTCTCGGACGCATGCCATGAGCCTCGAAAGGACAGTAGTAACACCGAGTGATATGCATTTTAGTCAGACATGTGCATATATCACATACAAAAGAGAGCGGGAATCCAAGGGGAAGGGAGTAAGAAGGGCCTGGGGTTGGCTCGATTCAACTCGAGTTGCTTCGTAACTCCGATGTTTTTCAGAAAGTTAGTACCAACGGGTGACGTGTATCGATCAGCTGATGGCTGGGTCACGAAGTGCGGTGCATATAATGAGAGAAAAAATAGTGAGATAATATGGACAGTCTGGCGGCTTCCGTTTGGATTATCCTATGCCAATTCCCTTAACAATACTTAACCCCTCTCATTTCATATTTTAACTGGGAATGTATCGAGTGCGAACGCTTAGCCAACACTTGCGCTCGCGCGAGACCAGCTACAGAGCTTTCTTTCACGTTCGAAAATAGAATTTTATTACACGAATTTCTTCGGTTTACAGGAACGAAAGGGGATATATTCGATGGTTTTGTGGAGCAGAAACATGCACTGAGAGAAAAATATATATTTTTTCAAATAACGCTTGCTTGAACCCCCAAAAATGGAAAGTAGAAATTTAACAAAAAATAGAACTGGTGTTGATCATTTGGAGACGAATCATTTATTATTTGTCTTGAGATGAAAAATTTTCGTCACTAAAATGGGTTAGGGGAAGTTGGGGTAAAACGGACACTTTTGACTTTTTTTTAAATGTTAATGAGGGGTTGAAATGTTGATAAAATTTAATAATTTTTTTTTCCAATACAAAAAACAATTCGTTCCCTTTATGACGAGCCTAAACTGAGCTCAAGTGATCAATTTGTTTCTGAGTTATGAATAATTTTAAAAAAATCTAAAGTGTCCATTTTACCCCACCCTCCCCTAGTTGTCCAAAAAAAATTTAAACCCCTGTGGAAGCAAGAGATGTGCACATGGAGCTGAAACTAGCAGAATATTCGTCGGAAAATTCAATTTAAGGGATATTTAAGTGTAGGAGAGTCAAATAATTATATGAACAAATGGTTTTTAAGTGCGAAAGAATTTGTACATTACTTAAAAACATTTATACACCTCTAGATTCGCCTAAAACGAATCTTCTGCTGTCGAATCTTTCGCTAGTTTTAGCTTCATTATGTGTAGTACATATTTACTATCACGCATGAAAAAATTCAACAGATTTTGTTTATCCAAAGAAGAATTGCCTGAGAAACTTGCTTGTTTTTCCCTCGGTGAGAGAATAAGTTCTAAACAGACTGAGATGATTTTTCGATAAATGTGAAAAGGGAAAACTGTAGCAGAGTGCTCCTTTCCAGCTGAAAGTTTTAATATGACAGATGATTTCTGCCACCAACATCTCCATTGCGTTTATAATGTAACCTGTTTGTCTGACACTTTGCCGTGTCAGACCGTAATGGATTCGCAGAGCGGAAGGAGAAATTGAATCTCACGAGGGGATGTGGGGAATGTGAACGAGACAAAAATGGGAATTGTTGGCTGGGCATGCGTTTCAATGGTTCACTATTCGCTCATAGGAGTCTTTGTTTAGATGTTGAGAGAAAAGGCGCTGTGCACTGATGAAAACTTTGAGGATAATCGTATTAAATAGGGGAGGCTGGGGGAAAATGGACATTTTTTACTTTTTTTCCAATGCTAATAACTCATTGAATTGTTGATGAAATGGAGTAATTTTTTTTTCAATAAAAAGTACAATTCTTCTCCCTTATGATGAGCCTAGACTGAGCTCAATTGATGAATATATTTATGGGTTATGAATATTTTTAAAAAAGTCAAGTGTCCATTTTACTCCATCCTCCCTTATTCATTGCGTTACTGAAAAATTTTCTTCTCGGAGAACTCTACGAAAATTCAAATTTTATTTTGATGTGGAGGTGTTCAAATTTTCAGAATTAATTTGAAAAATAAGGTTATCAATTTTTTTTTTATTTCAAAAATCAATAATAATTTCATCAATCATGTTATGTTAAATTGAATCCGAATGCACAATATTTAAATTTGTCTTGCAGTTGCTACTTAAATTTAAAAAAAAATTTAAAAGTGTTTTGTCATGATTTTGGTATGAATCAAATTCTAGAACACAAATCTGCTCTCAACATTTCAAGTATACAGAAGAATTAATAATAACAATAATAACTAATAATAATTATTATTCTGCCTTTCAAGTAATCTTGAAAGTTTTAATGACTAATTCATATAAAAAATTTTCTACTGGCGAATCAGTTGATTCCACACGGAAGGAAATTCCAGTTTTCAGTTTCACATCGACAATGAAAGTATTGGAAATTGTGAAAATTCAGGCAACTAGTGTTCTGACTTGCGTATTAAAATCTAATTAATTATAATAAAAGGATTTTTTTGATGAAAAAAATTCATAGAAAAACCTAGTGAATTCTGTAGAAATTTTATCATTTTTTGGCCGATTCCATTGAAGAATAAATTCCATAGAAAACATGATTAGAATTCTACCTTTCTATACAACTTTGTCTATTGAGATATTTCTGTAGGAGTCCCTCAACATGGATTTTCCAAACTTTTTCATTGTATTAAAAAACTGAAACAAAAAAACTTGGAAAATACCTCAATAGAATGAGTTGTATTCTATTGGTTCGAATCCTATTGATTTTTTCTCTAAAATATTTTCCATTGAACATTTCTATTCTATTGAAATAAAAGATGAATGTTTCGCAACGTTGTTTTATATAGAAATATATTGAAATGGGGATAAGCTGCGGAGATTTCTAAACAAATCGGTCAAAAGTGAATAGAAATTCAATAGAATTTTCTGGTGGAATCGCTAGATCTTTCTATTTATTCGTATCACTGCGAAAACTAATGTCTGAATTTCAGACACTTTTGTAGACACTTTCGAGACATTAAAATGTGTCTGAATCAATGGAGGTATTTCAATTTCAGACACCAAGATGTCTGAAATTAAGATATAAACATCAGTTTCAGACACAAGCGGTGTTTGAAATTTTCAGACATCCGTTAGATTTTCCAACACTTTTAAAGATTCAGACGTTTTTTGCCATCTCCATCTTAAATTCAGATGGTTGTCAGACACCTAGTTTTTGCAGTGGATGAGTCAACTTTTCAGACATGAGAAATATTCTAAAAATTAATGTTTGAATGGACTTTGTCGTCTGAATCAGGTGAGATATCTTAATAGTGAAATGTTTGAATCGCTCATAAATAACTGAATTTCAGACACAGAAAATATCTGAAAATGAATACCTGAAAATTTTCAGACACAAAAAATGTCTACCACCATTTTCAGACAGAAATTGTGATTGAAATTTTCAGACATTAGTCAGATTTTCAGACACTTGAAGATTCAGACGTTTTTTCCCATCTGACATCTTAAATTCAGATAGCTGTCAGCCACTTGGTTTTTGTAGTGTACATGGAGAATAGCCTCGTAACAACCAAATGGTAATTAGGTAGAATAGCACCTCCTACTCATTCGGGATACTGATAGGTAAATATCAACTTTTTTATATTGAACTTGAAGTAATTTGACGTATATTTTCTCGGAACCTAGTTGCTATAAATGAATTCAACCTCCTTTGAGCTATCACACTCAATAATATGTATACTCATGTAGATGTACAGAACTTCCCATTCTGCGCTTTCCCTTCTCAAAGCATTTATGAAATATCATTTATGAGGTGTTCATATAAATTCAACGTGTAGTGAAGCACTTATTCTTAAAGTATCAAGCTTCACCAGAACTTAGCATTACCCAGAGTTCCCGATGGGGGCGCAGCTGGTATGAACCCCCCAAAGGCCAAAATTTGACCCAGTCACCCCCCTCAAGTTATTTACCTAATTGAGTCCGACTCAATTTTTTTCTTGATTTCAATTTCTATTTGTGTTAAATGACGAAATAATTCAGCTTCCTCGAAAAATTCGTTGGAGTAGTCATATAAGCGAATTATACAATACTTAACCCCTCTCATTTCATATTGCCTAAAAGTCCAATTTCCGCCACATTGTGATGAAAAATATTGTTCGTATTGTTGAAATATACTATTTCAACATCGAAGACTCAAATTAAAATTAAAGAGTCGTTACTGAAAAAGTCCAAGAAAGACAGTCTTCTTCACTGAATTTTCCCTGCAGTTTTTTTGTTCACTTTCATCTCCGTGTATCTTTTAAAAAAGTGAATGAAAAATTATTTCACGTACGAAAAAACATCATAGAAATACCTGGCAAAGTTCGCTAGGAAATTTTATTGAATTTCTAATTTTTGCTCATTTCAATTAAAAATATTTCCATTTTTTTGTCTATGTAATGACAAAAAAAACGGAATTGCAATAGAAAAACCTGCATAGAGCGATGAAATTCTACTGATTCTCTCAAAACAAAAACGCGCAGTAAATCCATGAAATTCGTTAATAGAATCGGCCCAAAAAAATAGAATTTTCAGAGCAAGTTCAATAGAACTCCAATAGAATTTTCTATCGAACTGGCTAGGTTCGTCTATGAAATTTTTGAGTGCGTGTTGTGAATTCACTATTTCAAAAACTAAATATAATAACTCTGTATTGAAATTAAGCAAGAAATTTGTTCTTCTACACTTTCATTCTGACTTCTACTTGACCTAAAGTCAATAATGAATGTTATGACGTCATATTTATCTTCGTTTCATGCACAAAATCAAAAGGGATAATTTTCTCGAGCGCATGCCATGAGCCTTTGACCCAGTCACCCCCCTCAAGTTATTTACCTAATTGAGTCCGACTCAATTTTCTTCTTGATTTCAATTTCTATTTGTATTAAATGACGAAATAATTCAGCTTCCTCGAAAAATTCGTTGGAGTAGTCATATAAGCGAATTACGAATAGTTATAAAGAAAATCCAACCGTGTTTTTCCGTGAATTCACTTGGCAAAAATATATTTCTAGCCATGGGAAGTCCGTCAAGCCCTCCAGCTCCGGACAGCGCCCTCCCATCGGACCCAAATTTCTGTGCATCAACGACGACATTCAGTTACCTCCAGCGCACCTCAAGCGAGGAGTTAACAGACAATTCCGAAACGCGATTACAACATCCAGGATCCGCAACAACCTCTAGACTGCAGAACTGTCAATCGCGTGAATCTAGCTTACTGTCCCTAAATTACAATGACCAACACAGCTCCGAGGAGGAGCTCGAGGTGATAAATAGTCCAAAAGCAATAGCATCTCAGGGATGTAGACCAGCAACAGCCCCCGAGAAACGTAAATGGTCACAAGTGAGCAGTAATAGTAGTGCCCAGGGACATTGCAGTCAGACACAACAGCAATCTAGCCAATCCGAAAAATCCCAGTCGCAACAAACACTCGGTTTGGACGTACCAACGATCGTTTCCACTTCCTCGGCGCCAGTTAGCAGAGCCGGGATGGAACCAGCTGGCTCAGGCTCCAGCGATGAAGAGGTAATTCCATAAAAATCCGGCAATTTCACGAAATCCCGTACGGCAATTCAGCCTCGTAATCGTCGATTTCTTTTATTTTCTCTTTGGATTATTTATGCACTGAGAAAACATGACCTCATGTCACAAAATCATTTTAAATATTCAACGGCTAGTAATGGATGTGACATTTCGGTGTATTTTGTTTCTGAATCTTTTTTCGTACAGTTTCATGAAAACATTGATTTTATTTCGGTATGGGTATGGGAATCGCTGAAAATGATGAAAGTTTAATTGAGTAGCATTTTCAATTTTCAGAATTAATTTCACTAGATAATTTCATTGAAATGGGAAATTTTACAAACTAAAAAAGCTAGTGGTTTATTGTATTTTTTATCCTTTTATTTATTTTTGAAAATGATAAAAGTAACAATAAACAATCAAAGGAACATATAATTTAATGTCACGTTTCTCCCATGGCTCTTGACAGCTAGAATTATATTATTTCACACTAAATAATCGCTTCATGTCACAAGATAGTTAAATTGTTCCATAAAGTATCCACAATAAATCCATTTAGTAGTTAATTTTTGGTGCAGATCCTGGATTATTCAAATCTTTTTTCATCTCTTTAAAAGAATATATTTTTTCAATTTTCTATTTCTATCATGAAAAATATGTTCAGAAACTATCTTTGTAAAAATATAAAACAAAGTTTTTTATAATCTAGGATCTTAAGCAAAGATTATCCTTGTTCCTAGGCTTAAGGTTATCCCTGGCAACATATCCCCGGCACCATATCCCATTTGCCACAGTAAATCAGATACATTTTTCAATTTCTTGTTATTCAACTTATTCAGAATATAAATTAAAAATGCTCTTTGAAAAAATTAAGAATTTCTTCTACTTTTTTTGTTATTATTCATTCATAATTTTTCAAAACTTCTGCATGATGCAGGACTCAATTGACAATTTCAGATGACGAAAGATGAAAAAAACCATCGAGATAACGTTCGAAAGATAGTACACTCGGGCCTTTAATTGATAAAAATAGATTGAAAAGAATAAACAGAATAGACTGCGTTTTACTCAATTTGAAAACTATCGAAATGAATTAATATTATTATTGCACAGAAACTGATAACTCGCCATTCAATTCCGAATGAACATGAACGGATCGAATAACTTGACCCGAGGTCTCACGATCCTCAAGTATCCCATAATGCCTGCCTAATACATATTTATTTACATGATTATTCATCACAAAACAGGTACAAGGCTTGCTGGGTAGTAGTAGAAGCAACGGGAGTATAATCTCTCAGCCAGTGCAATTTCGTACATCACCACCAATCGATGCTCACAAGCCAGGGAGATCATTATCACCACCACCAAAGCTCTTCCATGCATCGACGAGGGATCCACGACCGCCACCGAGGCCTCGTTCACGGCCCAGACATCATCCCCACCTATATCATCACTATTACCACCATCATTATCAAATCGAAACGGATGTAGACTCGTTGAGTGCTTGCAGTCCACGTAAACGTCATCGACCACCGCATCGTCAGCCCAGGCCATGTCTCGATTTTGAGAAAATGCAACAGGTAATGTTGATTATTCGCTATTAATTATTCTGATTGATGATTTTTTCATCATCACAGGAGAACCCATTGTCTGTGACGAAAAGAGGAAGCCTATGAGCAATGAATATTAGTTGTTACTGTTTCAGCGAACGTTTCAGTTGTGACAGCGAAATATTTTTTGTATAAGCAAGTCTCTTCGTTGAAACTCAGGGTTGAACGGGTTTTACTCGTCCCAAAACAAATTAATCCCAGGATAATTTCATCCCAAACCTCAAATTCCAATGGAATTTTTCACCGTCACAACTATAATTTAGGGAGAGAAAGATATTAACTTTATTTTTACATAAAAAGGTACTAAACACAACATCAAAATTAATTGACAAATTCAATTACAAAAATCAGTAATTCATATTTGAGAAAAATTATTCACAAACTTGACAACTCAATTCAATTATTAAATTAGTCCACTTCTCGTCAACATTGTTATTGCATCTTAAAGAGTCAATATATAACATGCAACAGGTAATGTTGATTATTCGCTATTAACTATTCTGATTGATGATTTTTTCATCATCACAGGAGAACCCATTGTCTGTGACGAAAAGAGGAAGCCTATGAGCAATGAATATTAGTTGTTACTGTTTCAGCGAACGTTTCAGTTGTGACAGCGAAATATTTTTTGTATAAGCAAGTCTCTTCGTTGAAACTCAGGGTTGAACGGGTTCTACTCGTCCCAAAACAAATTAATCCCACGATAATTTCATCCCAAACCTCAAATTCCAATTGAATTTTTCACGGTTACAACTATAATTCAGGGAGAGAACGATATTCACTTTATTTTTACAGAAAAAGGTACTAAACACAACATCAAAATTAATTGACAAATTCAATTACAAAAATCAGTAATTCATATTTGAGAAAAATTATTCACTAACTTGACACCTCAATTCAATTATTAAATTAGTCCACTTCTCGTCAACATTGTTATTGCATCTTAAAGAGTCAATATATAATGATTCTCACACCAAATTGTTCACAAAAACGATCAAAATTTGATATTCAAAGGAATTATCGATTGAATAATGATAACACCACCAAACGGTCAACACTCTGCTAATTCGATAAGTCACGCGCTTCAGCCAAGCGTATTCTTCATCCAAACAGTGAATTGTCATGCACTGAGAAGACAAGAGTTTTTTGAGAAGTACATCTTTACTTGTATCAAGAAAATCATGACTTGAAAATTACCAAGCGCACAATATTTCGCACTAAGAAAACAAATCTTACGACAAGAAATTTTCTACTTCTCCGAAAGATGAGGGCAATTGGTTCATATCAAGAAAACGAGTACTCAAATCAATTCAAGTGATTTCTGCATTAAAATGTTTAAAAATCGAGGCTAAAAAACTGATAAATGAAATAATTTAATTTTACTTGCTTTGAGAAATGACTTTCTTGTCATCAAGAAATTGTCCTCGTCTTTAGGATAAATACAAAATTTCTTGATGAAAGTTTTTTTGACGTGGATACGTCCATGTTTTTATTATGGCGGTCATTTTGAGAAGCGGTCCTTATGTGCAGCGCCATCTATCGGAATTCTAGAAAATTCTAGACATTTCGAGGTAATTTGACATTTTATTTGAAATTTCGAAAAAATTCAAGGAGTTTCTAGAAAATTCGAGAAAATCATCAAGGAGTTTCCAGAAAATTCGAGAGAATTCAAAGAGTTTCCAGAAAATTCGAGGGAATGCAAGAAGTTTGTAGGAAATTCGCGAAAGAAGGAAAGACCATGGACGTACACGGAGAGAAATTTTTGATAAAAATTATCCTACCGTTCTGTAAAAGTCTATCATCATGAGTCATCTAGTATCATGAGTCATCGTTTCTTCATTTCTATCCCGAAATTTAGTAAAAATTAATATATGATGATCAAATTTTATTCTGTGTTAGAGAAATTTTATCCTGATGAAAATAAAAATTACCGTGCCGGTAGAGTAAAAATTACTGTACCAGTAGGGTAAAATTTATTATGCGTCAGGATAAAATTGCTCTAACACAGAATAAAATTTGATCATCATATATTAATTTTTACTAAATTTCGGGATAGAAATGAGGAAACGACGACTGATCATACACTTTTATAGAACGGTAGGGTAATTTTTATCAAAAATTTCTCTCCGTGTATATCCACGTAAAATCACAGCTGTATCGAAGATACAGCCGCCCGCAGTTTTTTTTAATACGAAATTTGCCGCCTATATGGAGTCTATAAAATCCATATATTTCACATACATAAATAGGAGTAATTTTTCCGTGGGGGCAATGTTTAAGAGCAAATAAAATTATTCCTCATGAATTAGATGTGGACTCTCTCGTACTCCGTTCTATGAGAGGAGGTCTACACTCCTAAACTATTCCGAAACTATACATGAGTAAACTTACACTCAACTATCCTCCTCTAACATGGCCTTTATAAACCCCCTAATAGGACGACACGTTCAGCATAATACATAGTCATTGGGGACGTAACTGAGCACATCGGGTATCTGTGCATACCATATCGCGCTTGTAGCCCCAGCATATACACGAGCCTTACAGGAGACACGAGCATATTACAATAATAATAGTCTGCCTCTGTTATTTCTCGCAACACGTCGGCACGCATCCAGAGGGAATACATGTACGGAATCGTATTAGTTCAATAATTCCAAGGCTGATTAGCATTATTGCGTTGATCATCCCACCCGACGACAATATTTTAACAACTGACAGCTGCAATCGACGAAAAGAAAATTCCCTGCACTTTGTTATAATGCGTTTTCCGGAGATTCAAAGAACGAAAAGCGGATCTCGGCCGCACGGACGGAGTGAGTCAGATCAGACCGGCTAAAGACAGAAAGGTCTTGAAAATCAAGCACTAACGACGAGAAAAGTCATAAAAATTGAATGAGTAGGAGAGCCCATGGCTCTGCAGGCGGGGGCTAATGAACAATAAAAAAACATCTGATTTCTTTGATACAGCCGTAATTTCACGTGGATACGTCTAAGGTCTTGCCTGTCCTTCACTGAACGTCATAGTTTTTCACTGTACATATTTATATAGGGGAGAGTGGGGCAAAATGAAACAGTCAAAAAACGACTGTTTGACGAAATTCAAACAAAAAATTTTTTTTATCATTTTTTTTTATAAATATTTTTTCATTCTTGGGAGTACTGATGAGAATAATAATTTTCCATTCAGTAGAATTGGCCCAGGGGGAGATCCAGTGGGGAAAAAGGAGAATGTGATGCTGAATTTCAATCGAATAATCAATTGACAAAATCTTCGCCCATCAAGATTTCTAAATAATTTTCCATTCTGTTGAATGGAAAATTGTTATTTTCATAAGTACTCCCACGAATAAAAAAAAGGACAAAAAACTATTTCATAAAAAAAAATTTATTGTGCTTGAATTGCGTCAAAAAATCTTTTTTTTGCCCCACTCTCTCCTAGGCATATGAGAACAAGTAGGGATTTCGCATCGTCTCGTCATGATAGTACGTTTTTTATAATCACAATTCGATTGAATTGTTATATACACCCAAAATTCCTGAACAAACGTTCAACATATTTCATTCACAACGAAATTGTCATGTGCCCTTGCGAATTTTAACACAGATCCTCAAAAAAAAATTTTAAAAATTCACAAAACCTAACAACACGGAACAAAACGGAAATTTGATGTATTCCGTGCAATAATAACCAACTCAAGGATCCCTCAAAATTATAATTCACGTCTAAAAAATGGAGAATTTTCTAGAATTCCGACAGATGGCGCCACTGCGGATAAGGAACCATAAGGACTTTTTCCCTAACCCCCCCCCCCCCCC